TGGCAGGGGCGGGGAGGGCAGCGCCCCGGCTGTGGGGCACCGCCCGGGCCGGGAGCTGCCGCGGGGCGCGGGCTGCCCGCCGCGTAGCGGCTTCCAAAGGAAGGAAAATCGTTGAAGCCGCAGCTGCCTCGGTAGGCGAGGCGTATCCTGACGAGCCGAATATCTCACCGTGGGTGTTTTCGTGCGCCCTTCGTAGGCCCTGCTGCCCTGTCAGCCCCAGCCTTACGTAAAACTGATACGTCATCGCCGCGTTGGGGTTGAAATTTGCAGTAATTACATCCATGAAGCGTGATTTTATATGATTTATGCTGGTCTGAGGAGTGAGCCCAGGCTTTTCCTTTAGGCCACAGGTTCCATGAAATTTAAATTCTGACCACTTTTGTCCTTCTTCATGTAGTCACTTATAGGTGATTGCAGCAGATACCCTTTAATGGTTTCTTGTGTATGTATGGATTAGTAGGAAAAACGTCCTCTAAACGTGTGGATTGTTTCCCTTTTTCAACTGCTCCAGGAAGTTTAGGAAACAACACACCTCATCTTGTGCCCTATATTGTAGTGTTTTATGAGTCATAATCGCTAAGTTCGCTGAGCTGTTTTGAATTGATTTTTCTGGGCTCTTGTCATGTTAGCAACAACTAATAGTCAATAAGAGCTTCTCTGATTTTATTGTTGTTGTTAACTCCTTCTTCTGTAAGGTTCAAGCCAGTGCATGTACACGTGCAGATGCTTCAGTACTGCACAGGGCTAAGATGAAAGCTGCTGAGACTTTTATAGAGTAAACAGTTTTATAAAATATTTTGTCAGAGATGTGTGCTTCGTAGATGGTTAGTCATACTTTGTATGACTTGATTTACCAACACTGCTTAATTTATTTTTTTTATTATTCTTTTAACGAGTGCTTTCCAAAGCAGCCAGTTTGCCTGTTGCACTGCTGGTTGGAGGTGTTATATGCCCTCTCTACAGAAGTGTTTGTGCTACCTAAAAAAAGCTGGTTGCTAATGCAGGTTGGCCTGTACTGTGTACAATTCTGCTTTTGGTTAGTATTTTGAAATAGAAGATTGTCTACCCAGGGTGATTTCTCAGTAGGCTTTTTACATACTTGTAACATGTTTGTCGTAAATTTTACAAAATATAAGATTCTTCTGTATAAAATGTTGTGTGCTTTTCTACATAATTTTTGTAGCAAGTTGCTCTTAATGTGTAATGCAATGCATACAGTTCAGGCTTTTTTAATTGGTAAACTGTGGTTTGTACAGAGTATACACAGAATGAAATGAAACAACACTGGCTAATGGTTTTGTAGTGTAATTTATGCTGGTTTAGCCAGACTGCTTGTCCTTCTTGGAACGTCTTTTTTTTCCTCTGCCCTGTTAGGATGGCAAACTTCAATGAAAAGTGGGAGTCTCTCTTGTATTCTACCGTGCAATCGTTTCCCTGTGCAGTTGATGAGTCAAGTGAGAGTTTATACCTCCAATGGTCAGAAAAAAGATCTTGGATCAGAAGATACAAATAGATCAACCCCTGAAGAAACCCTGCATAAAGCTGGAATAGGTAGTACTAAGCTAAAATAAAGACTGTTTATATAAATGTAAAAACTGTATGTATTTAACAATGGATAACTTTTTTTTCCAATTGTGTGATATTACGGTTGCAGAATTCTTCGTATTTGTTGCTTGTGGGCACCTATATATAAATTTCAAATGCAAAAGCAGGGAGGAGTGCTGAAATTTATTTCTTTGTCATTCCAGTATTTAAAGGATTTAAGCTTAGAGTAATCACATTTAAAGTGAGGATTATAAAACGTGGATTTCAGAAGGGATTAGGTAATTTAAGGGATAAGAATGTATAAGAATGTAGGAATGTATTACTTGTACTTGAAAAGCACACCAAGGCTCATTCTGAGCCAAAGCAAGCATGGAGCACAAGAATTGCTGTTGCCTTGCATAGCTTTCCGGGCAGTGGGGAAATCCAGGCAGAGAATTCCCAGCTAGCAGCTTCTCTGTGCCTGGGAAGTGCAAACGTACACGTTTCGGCCGAAATCGCGTTTTCTCACCGAAAAGCACACCAAGGCTGATTCTGAGCCAAAGGAAGCACGAAGCACTAGAATCACTGTTGAAGTTTATTTTGGAGTGCATATTGTTATATGTATGCTTCATATAGGGGTTGTTTTCTGGGGCCTAGTAGATGGTATGTTCTTACACATTATGGACATATTACTACTGTTTATTTAAAAAAACATGATATTTTGATAGAATTCTGTAAAGGTAATGTTATACTTGTAAAGATTGCCATATTTTTCCAGAAACTTAAATAATTAGCAAATTGTGGATCTCTTCTGGGCCTCCTTTTCTTTATTAGTAAACTTGGGAAATGCTTTTCATGTTAATACGATATTGAAAATAGTAACGTATTCATCTTGAAGGTTCTATCATACCAACCTCTGCTTGACTGAAAGATAGTTACCGTGAATTGAAGGATTCTGGTTTTTTTTTGTTTTGTTTCACCAGTACAGTGTGATTTTGTCCAGTCTCTAGACTAAGGTAGTAAACTTTAAAAGTGTACTTGATATACATAGATTTCTGTGCATAGCTGTAAATCTCTGTATTTTTGTGCCATTTTCTCCCTCTGAAATCTTATGACCCAATCTTTTGTTAAATAGTGTTGATGATATTTCTTTTAATTACATAAATGGTTGCATGCAGTTTCTGAAAAGAAGCTACTGCTCAGTTTTTGCTAAGCAATGTTAGCTGAAGTTTTTTCATCATGAATATTGATAGATCATGGCTGTCTGGTGTTTTAAATCAGGTAAGAAAGAAAGGAAAGGAACAGCAAGGGGTTTTTTGCTTTTGTTTTCAAGTCAAACAATGACTGATAGGGATGACTGTTTTAGGAATGCTAGTTATTTATGATCCAGCCTTATTTTTTGTGTAATAAGATCAGTTTCATGAATTTGTAAGTGTTATTTTTCCAAGAAAGTATACTTGGATTGTTCTTAGCCTTAGTCTTCAGTTGCTGTTAGGGCAATAACTAATTGCCTGATGGAAAGATAGTTATGTAGTCCATGCTTCAGGAATTATCTGACCTTTGAGAAATTTGAATAGTATGTTAAATTAGGAGTATCTCATTAATTAACACAAACCTTCTTGAAAATTCTTCAATTTTTTATATATATATCATTTCAATAAGGTCAGTTTTAATTTTGTTAATGACTGAGTATGTGTTTCAAGCCTCCAATGTTAGAGAGTGTTAAGGCATAAAAGAGTGGGTCTGTTGGTTTGACATGTTAAAATCGTAACATTTTTGTTCTGATAGCTGTATCAAGATGTATGAGACAAGGATGCAGTATTTGTATTTTCAAGTAGTACTCCTGATGTCTAAGTAGAAATCTCACTGAAATTACTGGATTTTCTTGTTTTCCAAATGGTAAGATTCAATTCACAGTACTGTAGTTTATATTTTACTGGATTTTATCGAGTTGTATCCTCAGCTTTCAAAACCAGCTCAAGTACTTTGTCTTCGTTCTAGCTCCAGCTTGTGACACAACAGTTGTGGATTTTAGTTTAAATACTTTGTGTTTTAATGAGCTAGCTTTTTGTAAGTGAAAAAGCTCTAGGCCCTTAAAATTTAGTTACACCTTGAAAGCCTATGAGACTTGGGTGATAAGCAGCCATAAACTATATAGAATTTGTTGTGTTTACTCATCTTAAATTTTGCATAAAACTTGCCCCAAACTAAAGTACACTGTTAAATTATTTTTTAAAAATTCAGGGTACTTTCTGAAATACGTTGCAAGTTGGTGCTCTTCTACAAGCTGCTAGGAGTTTGCAGATCAGTGCTATATTAATGTCTTATTTTGTTATTTATTTTTTTACTATTTCTGTCTTCTATTTTGAGAGCTTCAAACGTTGAAAATCTAGCAAAAATTGTTTTTTGATTGTCCGATTGGAAAGCAGTATTAAGATATATTCCTACTTTGCTGTGCCAACCAAACTTTACTAAAGAGAAAAGTAGGTACTTCCATATTTGCAGTGATCTTTATTTTTATTTTACAGGACAAGATATGACCAATGCAGGCCAAAAGCAGTCTTTCCTTAAAGAGCCAATCCAAGTAAAAGGTAAAGAAATACTTCCTGTATTTACTGATGTCTGCTAGTTGTCGAAAAAGATATGTGTAAGGAAACTGTGATTCCTCTTCAGTTGTGTAACAATTATGTGAAGAACATTTTAGAATACACTTGTATGTCAGCTTTATTTGGTGCCCAGTGGTTTGAAAATGACTCCTGAAAAATCAAATATAGTGGTATTCCTTCTAATTACTAGCTCTTCTTTGTCTGTTTTTAATTGTTACATTTAAGCTGATGAGTTTGTCAGGAAAAGACTAATCTGTTTTCTCTGTTATCACAGTCTGTCATCCTTTCATGTTTTTAGGCATGTCCACCATCTCATACTTGATCTTCCCCTGTTCCTTGTTTTAAGTCTTCCTCTGTTGCTTCTTATTGCTGAGTTAATCTAATCAGTGTTGCTTCTAAATATATTTTGACTACATGAACTGCCTAATCTGAGTCCTGTAATGTGCCTGTAGTAATGTGGTGGGTTGACCCTGGCTGGATGCCAGGTGCCCACTGAAACCACTCTATCACTCCCTTCCTCAACTAAACAGGGGAGGGAAAAATTATCACAAAAACCTCATGGGTTGAGATAGGGACAGGGAGCTCACTCACCAATTTACTGTCACAAGCAAAAGAGGCTCGACTTGAGGAAAGTTAGTTTAATTTATTACTAATCAAATCAGGGTAGGGTAATGAGAAATAAAACCAAAATCTTAAAACACCTTCACCCCACCCCTCCCTTCTTCCTGAGCTTAACTTTACTCCTGATTTTCTGTACCTCCTCCCCAAGTGGCGCAGTGGAACAGGGAATGGGGGTTGTGGTCAGTTCATCACATATCTCTGCCACTCCTTCCTCCTCACAGGGAGGAGTCCTCACACTTTTCCCCTGTGCCAGTGTGGGGTCCTTGCCATGGGAGACAGTCCTTTGTGAAATTCTCCACCACGATTCCTTCCCACAGGCTGCAGTTCTTCATGAACTGCTCCAGCGTGGATCCCTTCCACGGAGTGCAGTCCTTGAGGCACAGGCTGCTCCAGTGTGGGTCCCCCACAGCGTCTCAAGACCTGCCAGCAAACCTGCTCCAGTGTGGGGTCACAGCTTCCTTCAGGCACATCCCCCTGCTCTGATGTGGGGTCCTCCCCGGGCTGCATGTGGAGATCTGCTCCACTGTTAACCCCCGCGGGCTGCAGGGCAGAGCTGCCTCACCATGGGCTGCACTGCGAGCTGCAGGGGAACCTCTGCTCTGAGCCTGGAGCACCTCCTCCCCCTCCTTCTCTGATCTTGCTGCCTGCAAAGTTGTTTCTCTCACATATTCTCACTCCTCTCTGGCTGCAATTCCTGATTTTTGTTTTTCCCCTCTTAAATGTCACAGAGGAGCTACCACCATTGCTGATGGGCTTGGCTTTGGCCAGTGCCTGGTCCATCTCAGAGCTGTCTGGTGTTGACTCTGTTGGACATAGGAGAAGCTTCTAGCACCTTCTCTCAGAAGCCACCTCTATAACCCCCACCACATAACCTTGCCGTGCAAATCCAATACAAGTAATTACATGCTTTTGTCTTTAGTTATGTGTAAGTTTCTTTGAGGTTTTTAATTTATCATGACTTGATTTTACTCTGTCTTCACTCACTCTGATAGTTTTTATTATGGTATTGTGAGAATTATGCTTTTAAAAACTCCTGTGCCTTCTATGTATGGAAAGAACTTTATCAAAATAGAAATTGCCATTTCTCTTTAAACTCTGTCAAAAAAAGAAATCTCTGGAGTGAAAGTGACTCAGCAGGCTGTAAACTGTATCAAAATTCTTTCTCATTTTTTCCCCAATCTAAAGAAGCATCAAATCATAATACTTGTTGATAACAAGGTGAGATCAGTGTCTGTATATTTTCTGTACAGTTTTGTCTCCCTCCTTTATGTCAGTTTCTTTGGGTCTGTTGTCAGTATATGCATGCAGGGGAAATGTACAACATAGGAGAAATTAGGTAGACTAGAATAATTGTAAAAATATATATATCTTGCAGTGAGAAGAGACTTTTGCCTTTGTAGAGTATAGATGCACAAGCAAGAGTGTTTGTATTGATTTAAAGAACAGTGTCTAGAAAGTGGAATTCTAGTCTTCAGATGCTGCTGTGACTTAGAAACTGACCTAAGTATTACTAAAACAATAACATTTTTAAAGGATCATGAATCTTAAAAATTTGTGCTCTTTAAGGTGTTTTATGTACATCAGCTTTTATTGGGCCTTTTCCTCTTGGAAAGACCAAATTGATTTTTTTTTTCCTTCACATTTATTGCCAGTTTTGTACAGTTATTTGAACTAGGTGTAGGGTTGTTGAGATACTCTGCAATGTACAATTGGTTATAGTATTTTCTTTTAATGAAATTTACTTGTGTTTCTGAAAGATGGATTAGTAAGTGGTAAATCCACAAGTTTTTTTTTACTAAGGTTAACATATTTTGGATATATATCTGTTTTAAATAAGAAAGACGGGAAGCATTCTTAATGCTCATCTTGTCCTAACCTTAGTGAATGATGGACTGTTTTTAGAAAATCTCCTCACTTCTTTGTCACCTTTGCTCAGGAGCATTATGGGATGAATGTGATTACTCAAGTACTTAAAAAATTGTTTAAGTTCAAACTGGATGACAGAAATCAGATTATTGTGGTAAATACTGATATCTGTAGTGTTAGTGCATAGTTGAGTGTCAAGCAGTGTATTTTGCTTCTAAGCTTTCAAAACTCAGAAATAAGGCAATGTAGAACTCTAGAAAGATTTTTCTGAAAGTCTTTAAATGCAGTAGCTTTCTGTAAGTATCCTCTGACTAAAGTTCTGGATTAACTATAGCAATCATAAATCCTGTGGTATGCAGGAAGTTCATGTGTACTCATAAGTCTTCTCATCTGCAGAATTTGAGGTTTTCAGTTGTGTTCTTTAATGTTATATCCTTCAGAAATTGTAACTCTTCTTCCAATAAGCATAATGTTTTTAGTGGACGTGAGTGTATAGTGACTTACACTTGAAAATAAAATGAAGTTATGTATGTACAGAGAAGCAGGAAATAATGGCGTAAATTTAAAATTCCATTTATCCTTTTTCTGAATACAGTGGTATTCTTTTCCTTGTGCATGAAAATCTAATATGGTAAGAGTACATCCTCTAGACATGGAAAACATAAATAAAGAATGTATATTTGTAATTGTTATAAATGCCCAATACTAAATATGCTAATTTTGCAAGTAACAGTTCAGAAAAACGATGTATGGAGTCTGTCTCATTTCTCTGTATGGTCCTCAAAGGTGAGAAATCTTACCTTCAGAAGGTGGAATTGGTAAATATTTGAAAAAAAGAAATTAAGCTCTGTGTTCCCATTTCAGCTGCTAGAGCGAGGGTTTCCAAATTGCCATGTTTGAATGCTATCTTAGTAACCAAAAACACCATCTCTGACATGAAAGTTGGAGAAGTTGCTGAGAGTGGCAGTTAATGTGTGTTGGATGTTTGAGGACCCTGAACTACAATTTAGCAAGTAGTGTTTTTGGAGGTAAATCATTCTACTCTCACTCATTTCCCCAGTGAAGAACATCCCTTTCTCTTTCACTGTAAGTCTTCTGTCTCGCTGCAAGCATTGTTTTTCTGATCTCCACTTAAAAGTATCATGATATGACACTAGATCGAATTAACTTTTGAAGTTTCCATGAGTGACTTAACTTGCTTATCTATTTTTGTTTTTAAGTGAAAGCAGTCCTTAAAAAAAGAGAGTATGGACCAAAATACACACAGAATAACTTCATCACTGGAGTCAGAGCAATAAATGAGTTTTGTCTTAAATCCAGGTATGATGGGTCTGAGTTGAAATTTAAATTGTGAATATTTATTTGTTTGTATGTGCTCCAAAAGTAATTGTGATTGTAGAGTGATTTTTGCACAGCAACTTTTTCTAAATGCTTTTGTGGTATTATGTTCGTAAGTCTGAGGTTAGTTCTTGTTTACTTAGTGTTACAGTGGATTAGGGACTTGCACTTAGTTTGCACGTTTCCATAGTTGCTTCTTAAAGTAATTTATTTGTACTTATATGGTCATAAATCTAGTTGGAGGGAGTCTACCTCTAGAGTAGCTAGTTGTGGGGGGGAATTACAAATAACTCTTGTTTCAGCATTTTGGGGTCATCATGGTTTGATGTGAACGTCTCTAAAAGATCAGTGGAAACCTCATGTTACATGAGGTCTGTAATTTGGAATAAAATGTAATCTGGTTCCTAGTAACCTAACTGTTGTTACTTGATATGTACTTACGGCCTTTTACTATATGCCATGCCTGCCAGCAGGTCTTGCTGAGTTTAGCTGTAGTTGAGATGTCTTGTCAGATTTCATACACTGTGTGACCCATATTAAATCTAAAGGCACAGCAGGTTGGTTTATAACTTTTTATGCTGTTACTGTTCCTCCCCAGTTTTTATATACAGTGTATGTCACCAAACTTGGTCTTTGCTGAAAATCCAGTGACAAATTATGTTTAGTCCTTTGTCATATTTTTACTGTAACTGACTTGTGCAGAGAAATAACTTGATACAGCTTTGCTGGATTGACTGTAAGGGTTAAAAAAACCCCCAACAAACAACCAAAAAAAACCCCCAAAAAACCAAAAAAACAGAAGAAAAAAGCAAAAAGGACTAGATAATTGGTTGATCTAAAAATGAAATGTTATGTTGTATTTAAATTAAAAAAATAAAAAAAATAATCCCTGATGTTTCTCAGTATAGATGCCCTAATGTGTAGCTCAGCACAGAAAATCTTATCTGTTCCCCTAAGTAGTTTTACTATCTCCAGCCTTTTGCAGCTTGTGCTGGGTGTGTACATTCTGAGGTTAAATTTCTTAACTTTTCATGTCATGTGATTTCTGATTTCCATTTAGAGATGTTAAGCCATGAACCTTCTTGTTTAGCACTTGTGCACATTATCCATTATATGCAGATCATGGGGAGTTTTATTATTCGATGTTTTATCACTTTGTCTTCCATGTATTTCATAGCGTGAGGACATGATTTGGACTTCCGAGTGTGGAAAACACAGTGGCTTTCAGTAGCATCCTAGAGATTGCTTGCTTCACGTCTGCATGTCTGTTGTTTGGCTCAGTTAAACAACTTAGGTTTTTTTGTACTGCAAATTCATAATATCAAAATCGTGGAATATCACCCACACATAAAAGTAAAATGATGCAGAAAAGTAAAAATATGAAGTACTTCTTGCACTAAACTGTTTGTCTGTTTTCCTTAGTGATTTAGACCAGCTGAGGAAAATTAAACGACGAAGCCCCCATGATGACACTGAGACTTTCACTGTGTACCTGAGATCGGATGTAGAGGCAAAGTAAGAACATTTTTATGAAGGAAAGTGTTTGGATCATTTAAAATGGATTATACGAGAGAGAGAGAATAAAACCTTTAAAAGTCAGGTTTACAGTGAGAAAGGGCAATAATGTTTTCCATTTTCTCTCCACATTTTCTATCCTCATTATTGTAATAATTACATGGTGTATATAACACTGGAGGTTTTTTCATGTGTGCAGAGATCAAGTGCTTTTCCCTCAGCCACCTTGTGCCCAGCTTTTTATTCTGTAAAGTAGTCTGCATAGCTTCTTATCAGAAAGAATGATGTGATGTCCTGCTTTTAGGAAAGGCATTTGTGATGTAGTCAAACTGAAAAGAAGTTGCGTAAATGGAACCATTGTTAAATTACCTTTACTCTAATCAGGTCTCTTGAAGTTTGGGGTAGTCCAGAGGCTCTTGCTAGAGAAAGAAAACGACGTAAAGAGGCAGAGATCAAGTACAGAGAAAGTGAGTATAGAGTTTTCAAATAACTTCAAATGTAAACAAGAAAGTGTGATTGTGAGAAATCTACTAGATGGTGTTTGTTTCATTGAGAGCATAGAAGTTTGGAATTAGTAAGTGCTGATAAGGTTTTATAGTGTAGTGTTAGAGTAACACATTACTATCTATTTAGATATAGTCTGTTACTTTCCTATTTATCATCTATGCGATATAGCAAGAATATACCTTCAGTTGAGATCTGTAGTCATACTTACTTTTTGGGGGACTCTCAATTTTTAGTTTATAATTAACATCTTCAGTAGATTTGGATTTTTTTTAATTGAGAAATTTGAAAAGATTTAGAACCAGTCCAGATCTTTATACCATACCGTTATTTATTTATTTTTCCTCTGAAATCCGTTCAGTTTACCTTTGTGCTTCAGAAGTGGGAGAAATACTCCCAAATTACCTTTTTGCTTAAAATTATTGTTGTCATCCTTGCTGGTATTATCAATAACAGGTATAGTCAAATCAGTACTTTATAATGGGTTTTGGTCTGTCTAGTCAATTAAAATCACAGGAGAGGCAGTATTGCTTCAATGTACTTATTCCAATTACGCACCTTAAAATTAGAGGTCTTTTAAAAAATTTTTTTATTTTTTTGGAAACAGTTGTGCCACTGGAACACCCTCCTAGTAAAAAGGCTAGAGCTGCAGGCACTTGTTAAGGTACCTGTGTTTATACTGAGAATGTAGTCAGTAGCTTCAAAATTTTTAGTGACCAGCAGAGTAATTCTTGGACATAATCCAAAAAATGAGATTAAAAAAATACTACTCAGTCATAATAGCATACTGAAATATCATATACTTGAAGTGGTAACTCCCTTTTTATACAGGTTGTTCCTGTCTTTTTTATTCTATTTAAATTACTGTGTACAATGTATTTTGTATAACTTTGTAGGGGAGAATCTAGCACAACAGCTTCTAGATACTGTAGTGTACTGATGTTTGTTTTGAAGTTACTGAACATCGTTAGTGGATGGAAAAATACTGATGTTAGAGACTTGCTTTTAAACGTCCTTCCCCCTCTCCTTCATGGTTAAGGGGTGGGAGTGGGGCAGTAGAATGCCTGGATTTGGTGCAGTGTCTTTTGAGTTTTTCCCTCTGTATATCATCCTTTGCTGATAGAAATGGCAACGATGTATAGCATCGTAACATTTTATTTAGCATTTTGCATGAGTTTTCTGTTTAACAATACCAGCAGTGGAGTTTTCCAAAAAGAAAGATAGACCATTTAGGTCTTACTAGAAGTGGGCTGTTGCATAGAAGTAAGACATCAATTCTTGAAACTACTGGTTACTAGTATGTATTCATGGTAACAATTTTGTATTGCAGATCTATTTAGAAACCAAAGACTGTTGAGGGAATACAAAGAGTTCTTTGGAAATACTAAGGTAAGAGGTGTTTTAAAAGTTTTGTCTAGAAAAATACCACAACATGTACTATGACACCTTTTGAAGGAAAAAGTTGTGAAACAGTTGCATAAGCTTAACTAACAATATTGTTGGAAGATTTATTTGCACTGTAATATATCTGATCTATTTCTGGTTGTAATGAGTGGCAGATGTTTTGATGCCAGTTTAAATGGGTTCCCACTGTGGAAATGTAATCCACCAGTAAGTTTTTTGGTGTGGTGTTTTTTGTTCAGTCAATTGCCTTCTTAACAACAAAATTGCAGCTGTGTTTGACTTCATCTATGGCTTATAAACATGTAGAATAAATATACTGTTAATTTAAATAAATGAAATAGGTTTCTTAAGGGGAAAAAAAAAAAAACATTAACACTTTGCTCTATGCCCTACTGGCTCTTTCTCTTTGCTTAAGCAAACCTATTCCAGGTGCTCAGCTATGCTATAATGATTTTTTAATCTTTCTACTGAACAGATGGCTCCTGTCATTATGGTTGCAGTGGCCCCTGCTGGAGGCTTTGTTGATTGTTTATCCTTTTTATAGCCATCCGTTTGTAGAAATGTGTAAGACCTAACTGCAGTTTGGGTGAGCATTCAGTAGTAAATTAGAAGACTTCATACTGTAGCTTCACTTTTGCAATACAGGGCAATGCAAAGTTTTTATTTAATAATTTCTATGGTAGGTCCTTCATGAGATCAATATCTGGTTATTTTGTTTTAATAATCTCTTATTTCTTCATGTAGCCACGCTCCAGTGCAGCAGCTATGTTTTTCAAGGGACCAGGGAAGGTCGTAATGGTAGCTATTTGCATGTAAGTTTAGAAATAATATTTTTGTTTATGCAAGTAGAAAACAATTTATTTTTATTATCCTGGATTTGAGAACAGTCTGTGTATTCAAGCTAAAGATACCATGTCTCTGTAACTAAAGGTAACAGATTTGTTTATTCATTGATGATGGGAGAGAGTTTGGGCAAATACATTCATCAATATAGCGAGACCAGGGTTAGAATATACATCTGATCAGAGAAGAGCAAATTTTTTGAAGTTGATCAGACTAAACAGTTCATTAAAGGAAAAACTAAAATTTTGAAGGATGTGGAGAGGTAAGCATTTAAAGTTACCCTTTTTTTCTTGCTCTTTCTTGAGAGGAAGCTTTTCATATGTTTTAAACAGTCTTCCCTATAACCAACAGAAAATAACTCACTTCTCTGCTGTTATTCAGTTCTTTTCCTCTATAACTGGAAAGGGGATATTTTAGGAGGTTTTTGCCTTTCACATGCTTTATGAGTTTGAATGAAACAAAACTAAACTAATGATTCTGATTTTAAAGCGAATGAACACTTGAGTCTCTGGCATAGAATACACAGAAGTGTGTTAAGTTTCTATCATGAAATGATGGCTAAAATTTACTTGCCATAAAATCTGTGAATTTTTAAAATGAATTTGATTTTATAAAAGGTATTTATTTGCTAAGACACTATCGATATAAGAGAGCAAAATAGAAAGATGGGGAAAACGCTTTTTTGGTACAGGAAACAACATACTGAGCAGGACATAACTGAGTTTTCATACAAAACTATATTCTTTTTGCTTGGGGGGAAAAACCTACAAAGCTCCTTTGACTGAAAACTTCCCTCTTTATTGAGTAATCTACTTGTAACTATTCAGAGCTTTCTAAGTTAAAAACATTTAAGAACTATTAGTACAGATATTTCTAATGGAAAAAAAAAAAGGTGTGGGGGAGAGGATGTTCTATGGTCATTTTCACTTCCTACACTTTCTTACAATGATCTAGAGAAAACAGAGCTTTCCTCCTGCTTTGTATATAGGGCATTACTATAAAATCGCACTCCCTTCATAAATACCTTTTGGATGTTTAGGTACTTTTATAGATGAATGCCCATCAGCCAGTCCAGCAGAAGTTGTAGAGCCTGTTATATTCCTCAGTCATCTTTTTTTGGAGCTTTTATAGAAGTTAAAGGATCTTGTGCCCCTCAAATATCTGAGGACTTTTCAGAGATTTAAGTCAAGGCCACCATCAGTGCTCCTTTGTTTGTGGCCTTAATCTTGATACCAGCATGATTTTTAATGGTTTCTGGTTTTGGGTCAAGAAAGGCCAGTCTGTCTTAACTTCTCCAGTTGGAGTGATTTGGTAGGCTTTTCACAAACTTCAGGCTTCCTCAGTGAGGATGAAATTAGTTCAGTCAAAAGCAGAGTCCTCTATGGATCCACGTGTAAGGGTATAGACCAGCTGCACTGGCACACTCTTATGTTGTTAATAGAATTCTGCGAGGAAAAGCTTTGAAGCTGTTAGAGAAAGACACGAAGGTGGTAATGTGTTTTTTTATCAAAAAGGGAATGATATATTGTTAGCAAAACATTCTTCAGAGTCCAGCATTGTTGAAGTGATTTCATTGACATACTAATGCTTTACCTTTTAAACAATACAAAATTTGCATTATACATAATATTTTAAAAAACCCCTAATGTTTAGTATGTTTAGTAATGTCACTGCTTCTTTAGAAATAGATGCGATGAAATGTGTTGAGTTCTCAAATCTAGAGCCTAAATAGAAGATTTTTTCCATAGATTCATAATGGATTTTCAGTTTCAGTTTTTCATGTTGACATTTATTTTTCTACTGTTCTTTCTTCAAAAGCCTAAATATTTTATGTAGGTAGACAGGGATGGTTGTGTAAATCAGACCAGTTCTTTCTAGACCGTTATCTTATGCTGCAAGGTAGAGTATAAAAAATGGTATATCACATGATGGTACAATTCCCTATATATAGATTTCTCATTTCTCCATGTTTCCTGTTCCCCCTATACATTTTAGGGTTTTGAGGTAATTATCTTTGAAACAGATTTGGAATGATAATTATTTAAAAGCAAGTATTAATGCCCTTTAATTTTTTCAAGTTTACATTTCAGTCAGGATAGATTTATTTGGATATGTTTTAAATGTAATTTATGTTGTTAAGTTAGGAACTTTGATTTGAATCATTGATTCTGATCTACTTTTTGGCATTTGTGTATTTTTTTGTTTTATGTTTTGTTTTGTTTTTTTTTCCCCAAAGAAAGGCTGATTTTGTTCATGTATCAGCATTGTAAAGATACCAGTTAAATTTAGACTCTACACTAAAATTGACAAAACTTTTGACATCAAGGACGACTATCTCTTTCAACACCTTTTGTTTGTTTTTTCCCATTTTGTTGGTGAATGCCTTCTGTGTGGACTTTGGAGTACAGTAATAAACAGTCATGTTGAATGGAACTACTTACTTTCTGGGTGCAGAAGAGAGGCTTCTTAGAAAATGCTGTAAAGTACTAGTTTTTATAAGCAAGAGAACTGTACCTAATGAATCTTGTGTGTTTTTTTTTCTTTTGTTGTTTTTTGACATGATATCCAAAACATTACAATAAATGTTTTTCAGGCTTTACCTAGCTTTGGTTTAAATTCTGTTAAAATTTCCTACTGTTTCAGGTCCATACAGGTAGAAATGAGGTAACTAAATCAGTGAGTTCATTCAGTTCATTTTTGTACAATAGAGAAAATACTTTATCAATTGGTGGTCTCTAACATAAAACATAACTTTGTTTCAAGCTGATTCAGAGTATTTTAGCTGCCTTCTCAGAATCTGCTGGTTTTGCATTATTTTTCCTCTGCTGTTTAAAATATTTGTAGTATTTTTTTCAACAGAATTTAGGCTTTCATAGGGCTTATTATTTTCAAATGCAGTGGTGAATTTGTTTTTTTAAAGAAACACATATTTTACTTGCAATAAAAACCTGACTTTACCCTCCCCCAAACTAACTTTGATCTATTGTCTTATATTGATGTGTACATCTAGTCACACAGGAAACGCCAAATAGCCTTGATGGCTCTGTAGACTCACTAGATTTTTTGTAATTACTTCCCATGTAGCACTTTTCGTCTTTCTATCCTGTGTCTCCAGTTTACTGAACATCATTAACAGGCTGATTTTGCTGGGCCTGACATTTGAAAATCTTAGTGTGGTTTCTTTTTAGATTTCTAGGATGTCAAATCCCCCCATGAATTTGGAATTAGTAGGGGTGACATAAAATACCAGCTGAGTGCCTGTTGTGTCATCTGAACAGGTGGGGGCCCCACAACTGAATTGTACCTTCAGATAAGCTGTCACCAACATTAATACAACTTTGAGAAGAACAATACAAAAGTCAAGAGACTGTGCTCATGAATCCCACTGTAATATATTTAATTTTCTTTCTATGCTAAAGATGCACTGTGCTGTGAGTTGGAAGAATGTATAATTAACACAGGGAGTTTAAATTAAGATTTAGTGTTACAAAGCCTTCCTTTCTACTTGGGTTTTCCACTAACTTAAGCTTTTTTTTTTTTACTTCCTACCTATAAATTATGGTGATGCTTCACCTTCTCATGAGGTAATTAGACTAAATTAAAAATTTTAGAGCACATTCAGGTTCTTGGATAGAAGGAGATCAAGTAAGAGGTAGCACTGTTTTCTTTAAGAAGTGTATGTACTCTCACAGAAATTCTGTAAGGATTACCTTGGAAATTAATGTTACTTATTCAACTGTAAAATTTGGTATATGGCAGGGGGCTAGACTTGTGCTTTCTCTAACTTAAATGTAATTTCTTGACATGTGGTTGTTCAAAAGTGGAACTACAAGATGTTGTTAATACTTATTCAAATGAAATTGGTATAAATAATTTTAAAAATTGCCAATAAGCTAAACTCCAATATAGTAAAAAGGGTAGAGAAGAATGTTAGAATTCTCTAGTCTGATTTTCTTTTCAATATAATCGTAGTAGTTAACCTACTGATTCTGATAATGAACGGTTGAAGTGAGAACGTAGACTCGTATCTCAGTGCTGATGGTTACTTTTCTCCATACAACATAACACAGTGCTTAGTCCAGTGAGCTTGTAACCTAAAAAAGACTTGACATCGTCACACTGGACATGTTAATGGAAGAGTTTCATAGATAACCTAATGATAGCCTTGTATTCCTGTCTGTTGTCTTACATTTGTATCCTTGGGAATTGCCCAAGCTGAGATTGAAGTGGGAAACCCTTCACTACAGTATTAGGAGGGGATGTATAGGAGGCAAATGACTGAAGAAAAAGGAAGTTGTTAAAGGTTGTATTCTCCCACTGGTATGCAATTAGTTGTTCTGAGTAGTGAATGTGATGGTAGTTTTCAGGAACTGTAACTTACTCAGGACTGCTTAGAAGTTAACAGTTTGGAAACAGTTTTGCATTGTACATCTTTACATATCAAGTGTAGCTGAAAGGGCTTTTTAACAGTAACCATGCAGAAAATATGCATGCCTTATCTGCCTGTACAAGTCTTTAATGATTAAACTAATAATTGGTTTCACCACTTTCTGGCAGGTAATGCATGATTATACAGCTTTTATGGTTTTGCTGAAAATAATGCAGACCAAATATTCTGATTTTCTTTAGCTTATTTCTTCTTTTTGTTTTCAGAAATGGGTTGAACTTTTTCTTTAAGCTACTTGCTTGGGTTTACACGGGTTCTGCAAGTATGTTTTCAGAAGCCATACATTCTTTAGCAGACACATGTAACCAGGTGAGTATTTTTTTCCATTCTGCTGAAGTTAGTACTTGTAATAAAGACAGATACTTAGAGTAGTTGTATTATACTTAAAAGCAATAATTCAGTCTACTAGTGATCCTTAGCATTTAAATAGTAAACACCAGAGAAATGAAACCAATTTTATTTAGGAGGACTACAGTGCATGGCAAAATACTTTTGTTTTTCTTTACAAAGTTTGCTCATAGATAATGTTGGCATTGTAGAGAAGCCTAGAAATTCCAAGTTTATTAGCCACAACTCTTATTAAAAATAACTCTCTGTGAGAGTCTGACTGCTGCAGTGTGTATTTACAGTGGTCTTCCTGTGCATTACCTGTGATCATTTGTACTGTTTCGTATGGTTTGCATGCTTCCTAGAGTTAATAGTAATATATTCTAGAAGGACAAAGCTAGTACTTAATCTAGTGAAAATTTAAATAATTTTGAGGTAAAACAGTCTTTAAGGTGTTTTTTAAATAAACAATTTAATCTGGGAGAGGGTATTCCTGTATTTTACTTTATTAAATAATTTATTGTTTCAGTCATTCAGATTACAAAGCCTGCCCAGCATGAGACAAGCTCTTCGTGCATGCAGTATGGGAAAGATGTACTCTTTTTCATGTGTGTAGTATAAATGTATACTACTTAGCTTCACAGAGAAAAAAACGAATCTCACTACGAAGTAATGTTATTGTTACATACAGTTTTTATCAAACTGTAGACAGTTGAAGGCATATTTTGACAGAAATTCACATTACTGTAGAAATATTGCTTAAGCCCAGAGCTCTTCCTGTTGTTCCCCAGTGTGAGTGCAAAGATGCTATTACTCTTGCGAATATACTTACCAGAACTAGGGGTTTCAACTAGTGGTTTCTATTTAGCTGGTCTTTTATTTATTTTTTTTAATTTTATATTGATGCCAATAATTTGATGGAGGGTTTACAAACAGTAGAATAACTGACCCAGTCTAGAAGCTTTAAATGCAGAAGGAATATAGAAAGTCACCTGTAATTGTAAGTAAAATCTATTTGAATGGTGTTTGGACTAATATTTCTGCTAATATAATACTATTTGTAGTGCATCTACATTATTTCGAGCTATTTGCCCCAATTACTTCTGTTCTTCTCTAAACTATTGTTTTTCCATATAAGTGATTTTTCCATTCTTCAGTTGCAATTTATTTTCCCTATAACTATCAAGATGAAAATGCACCAAAAGAGGTTGAAGAGGTTATAATATTAGTCATATAGGCAAACATTAGGAAATAAGTCCCAGGACAGGTTTAATTTTGTTTGTCACAATGTATATGCATAATGTAACCAGCCTTATCTTTAGGAAGTGGTGTCAGAACAAAATCTCAATAATTTTAGTTACATGCTTATTCCTCTGCCTTGTTCTCTGCCCTTTCTGGATAAGAATGATGTCTCAGTAATCTTAAAGTATTACTTAAGTGCCTGAGTGCCTGTCCAGATAATAAAAAAATTAATAAAAATTAATAAAAAATTGGGTGCTTTTTAATTTGCATTAAGAATTAGACAAGTCAGAATATAGATTTTGAAGGTATTTTTTAGAAATGAGTTGAAAGGAGTTGTAGTAGGCCAAACTCAGCTACTTCATGGATCATGAGTAGGACTTGAAACTAAGACATCAATCTTATTTCAATTCCTGGGAAAGTTATGGAACAAATCCTCCTGGGGGCTATCACAAGTCAAATGAAGCATGTGATTGGGAAAAGCCAGCATGGATTCACCAAGGGCAAACTGTGCTTGACAAACCTGATCGCCTTCTGTGACAGTGATCTGCTCAGTTGATGTAGGTGAGTGGTGGACATTGTCTACCTGGATTTCTCCAAGGCTTTTGATACGGTTCCCCAAAGCCTCCTCCTAGAGAAACTGGTACGTTATGGTCTAGACGAGTGGTCTGAGCAGTGAGTGGGGAACTGGCTGACGGGCCACACCCAGAGGGTGGTGGTACGTAGCTCCTTTGCAAACCAGCAACCTGCCACAGGTGGGGTCCCCCAGGGATAGGTATTGGGCCGAGTGCTGTTTGATATCTTCATAAGTGATCTGAATGATGGGATCACATGTACCCTGGTGAAGTTTGCTGTCGAAACCAAAGTGAGTGGGGAAGTGGACACTTTGGAAGGGAGAGCCAACCTGCAGGAAGACCTGGATGTGCTGGAAGAGTGAGCTAACAAGGACCTTATGAAATGCAGCAAGGACAAGTGTAAGGTCTTGCACCTGGGAAATCCAGGAGTGCATCTACCTGGCTGGAGAGCAGCTCTGTGGAGAGGGACCTGCGTGTCCTGGAGGACAAGCAGCTCAATATGAATTAAGTGAGCAGTGAGCTGCAGTGGCAAAGAAAACCAGGATGCTGGGTTGTGTTGACAAGAGCATCACCAGCAGAGATAAAGAAGTCATTATCCCACTCTGCTCAATGCTTGTCAGGCCACACCTGGAATACTGTGTTCAGTTTTGGTCCCTGCCATACAAAAAAAGGTGTGTACAGGCTGGAGAGGGTCCAGAGGAGGGCTACAGAGATGATCAAAGGACTGTGAAGCTTGCCAGATGAGGAAAGGCTGAGAGAATTTGGCTTGTTCAGCTTTGAGAAGAGAAGGCTTAGGGGAGACTTTATCACTATGTTCCAGTATTTAAAGGGTGGCTACAAAGAAGATGGAGACTCCCTTTATACAAGGTGTGGAAAAGATGAGGGATAATGGATACAAATTACTCCTGGGGAGATTCCAATTGGACATAAGAGGAAAACTTTTCACCATGAGAACAATCAGCCACTGGAATAATCTCCCCAGGGAAGTGGTAGATTCCCCAACATTGGACACTTTTAAGATCCAACTGGACAGGGTGCTGGGCCATGTTGTCTGGACAGTGCTTTTGCCAAAAAAGGTTGGACCAGATGATCCTTGAGGTCACTTCCAACCTGGTATTCTAAGATTCTGTGATGTACAAATATACCTCTTTCTTACTTGGTTAAAGGTTAACTTGAAATGCTCTTCCTGTCAGTTACTAGAATGACAGACTTTGTTACTTAGTTATCTCTTGGTAGAATAATGATGAGAATTTGAGCATCTAATTTTCTTTTGATGTTCCTAGACTGCCTTAACAACCTCAGCACAAGTAGCCACATACCTGCCACATTTACTTTGATAGGTGGTGTAATGGAATCAGAGCTGGGCAGATAATATTACTGTTCAGGGACAAAATTAATGTTGCTTTTCCCACTATTTTCTTCAGTGTGCTTGAGGCATACATTACGATACCTTGAAATTTCCCCTTCTCTCAGTGTAGAAAGAATCTTTTTTGTTATAGTTGTTGATATAGCAAGGCTTTGGAAACAGAAAAAGTACTTAGATGCATGTCTGAAACTCTCCTGCAGCTCAAGCAAGAGGAGTCCTTGGATAGCTTGTGACTCATATAAAATGCAACAGTCTTTTGTGCCTCCAAATTTGAGAAATGTATGGAACCTTAGAGCAGACTTAATATCTTAAAAAGCATTTTAATGTAATTTTGGCTACCTTTTTGCTTCATTTGTACCTAGTATGCTTCTCTGTCCGGAAAGACTGAGTTGAGGACTCACATTTTGTTTGCTACTTTTCTTTAAATGGTTTTACACAACCTTTCAGCTGTTCCAGCTGTAAAGTGAAGACAGGGGTGTTATTAACTCAGTTTATGGGGAGGCAGCCTTAAAGTGTGTGATTTTCATGTGGTCAAGTGTGTCAATTCATAGGTGAAACAAGTTTGATAGTGGTATTATCTACCAGAATCACAGAATCATCTAGGTTGGAAAAGACCTTGAAGGATCATCCAGTCCAACCATTAACCTAACACTGACAGTTCCCAACTACACCATATCCCTCAGCGCTATGTCGACCCGACTCTTAAACACCTCCAGGGATGGGGACTTCACCACCTCCCTGGGCAGCCCATCCCAACGCCTAACAACCCGTTCTGTAAAGAAATGCTTCCTAATATCTAGTCTAAACCTTCCCTGGCACAATTTGAGACCATTACCTCTTGTCCTATTCCCTTGTTAGCTGGTTCAAGAAACTCAACCCCAGTTCTCTGCAACCTCCTTTCAGGTAGCTGTAGAGGGCGATGAAGTCTCCCCTCAGCCTCCTCTTCTCCAGACTAAACACCCCCGGTTCCCTCAGCTGCTCCCCAGCAGACCTGTGCTCCAGAGCCTTCACCAGCTTTGTTGCTCTTCTCTGGACATGCTCGAGTCATTCAATGTCCTTTTTGTAGTGAGGGGCCCAAAACTGAACACAGGAATCGAGGTGCGGTCTCACCAGTGCTGAGTACAGGGGTCAGATCCCTTCCCTGTCCCTGCTGGCCACGCTATTGCTGACACAAGCCAGGATGCCATTGGCCTTCTTGGCCACCTGGGCACACTGCTGGCTCCTGTTCAGCCGGCTGTCAATCAGCACCCCCAGGTCCCTCTCTGACTGGCAGCTCTCCAGCCACTCCTCCCCAAGCCTGTAGCGCTGCTGGGGGTTGTTGTGGCCCAAGGGCAGCCCCCGGCATTTGGCCTTATTGAAACTCCTCCAGCTGGCCTCAGCCCATGGCTCCAGCCTGTCCAGGTCTCTCTGCAGAGCCTCCCTGCCCTCGAGCAGATCAACACTCCCACCCAACTGGGTGTCATCTGCAAGTTTACTAGGGGTGCACTCAATCCCCTCATTTAGATCATCAATAAAGATGTTAAACAGGAGTGGCCCCAAAACCAAGCCGTGGGGGACACCACTTGTGACTGGCTGCCAACTGGATTTAACTCCATTCACCACAACTCTTTGGGCCCGGTCATCCAGATAGTTTTTACCCAGCAAAGTGTGTGCCCATCCAAGCCATGAGCAGCCAGTTTCACTGGGAGAATGCTGTGGGAAATGGTGTCAAAGGCCTTACTAAAGTCAAGGTAAACTACATCCACAGCCTTTCCCTCATCCAATAAGCAGGTTGCCCTGTCATAGAAGGAGATCAGGTTTGTCCAGCAAGACCTGCCTTTCATAAACCCATGCTGACTGGGCTTGAGCATCTCGTTGTTCATTATATGACTTTTAAGGGCACTTGAGATGATCTGCTCCATGACCTTCCCTGGCACCGAGGTCAGACTGACAGGTCTATACTTTCTTGGATCATCTTTTCTGCCTTTTTTGTAGATGGGTGTCACATTTGCCACCCTCCAGTCCAATGGGACCTCCCCAGTTAGCCATGATTTCAGTTAAATCAGGGGCAGCAGCTTGGCGAGCACCCTAGCCAGCTCTTTCAGCATCCTTGGGTGTAACCCATCTGGTCCCACAGACTCGTGTGCATCCAAGTACTGTAGCAGGTTTCTGACCACCTCCTCTTCAACTGTGCTGACCTCAATCTGCTTCCCCTCCCCATCTCCCAGCTCATGAGGCTGGGTGACCAGGGAACAGCCAGTTCCACTGCTAAAGACTGAGGCAAAGCAGGTGTTGAGCACCTCAACCTTTTCCTCATCCTTAGTTACCATGTTTTCCTCTGCATCTAGTAAAGGAGAGAGATTTTCCCTAATTTTCCTTTTGCTGTTAACGAATTTATAGAAACATTTTTTGTTATACTTAACAGCTGTAGCTAAGTTGAGCTCTAGCTGTTCTTTGGCTCTCCTAATGTTGTCCTTACATAACTTCTCTATATTTTTATAGTCTTCATGAGAAACCTGGCCCCTCTTCCAAAGGCAGTAGGTTCTCCTTTTGTTCTTGAGATCCAGCCAAAGGTCCCTCTTTAGCCAGGACGGTCTCCTTCCCCACCTGCTTGTTTTTTGGCACACGGGAACAGCCTGCTCCTGTGCCTTTAAGACTTCTCTCTTGAAGTATGTCCAACCTTCCTGGACTCCCATTTCCTTCAAGGCAGCCTCCCAAGGGATTTTATTAATCAGTCTTTTGAACAGGTCAAAGTTTGCCCTCTGGAAGTCTAAGGTGCATTTTTACTAACCCCTCTCTTTGTTTCTCGAAGGATCGAAAATTTTATCATCTCATGAACACTGCACCCTAGACGCCCTCCAACCTTTACCTGTCCCACAAGCTCTTCCCTGTTCACAAGGAGCAGGTCCAGGAGGGCACCTTCCCTGGCCGGCTCACTCACCAGCTGTGTGAGGAAATTATCCTCCACACATTCCAGGAACCTGCTGGATTGTTCCCTCTCTGCTGTGTTGTGTTCCCAGCAGATATCTGAGAGGTTAAAGTCCCCCACAAGAACAACAGCAAGTGACCAGTGAGATTTCTCCCATCTGTATATAGAAAGCTTCCACTTGTACGTGGAAGAGGTCTTTGTATTTTGAAATGTGAAAGTTAAATGTTCCACTGGAAATGTGGTGGGGTTTTGCTCAGGTTTTGTGTATGTGGTTTTGAGAAAGACACAAGAGGAACCTTGCTGCCTCAAAGCAGCTTGCTGCTGTGGACTAAAGTGTCTAAATTTTAATACTACTTATTATGTTTCAATAATTCATAGTCCTAAAACAATGCTTTGTAAAATTGAGGTCTAGATTTATAACTCACTGCTTCATAGTTTTAATACATGCCTAATCAAATATATCCTAAATGGGTGTTTAGATAGCAAGAGGTTTTTATTTCTTCCTTCAAAATAATTTTTTTCTTTAGTCTGGAGAATATGAAGTTCACTACTGAAAGCAGCTGCATTGTAAAATTACTGTTTTAAATATAGTATGCCATCACCATAGTCTCTATAATTTCTCTTCAAGAGGGATTTATTTAAATAGCTTTGTTCTCCTGAACAAGTTCACTCCTTCACATTGAAGCAACAACGTCTGTGATTGCACGTAATGTTCACTTTCAGTTGCAATTCTGAAACTATAATTAACAGTATATATATACACACACTATATAATTACCTATACATTATATATATAGGTATAATTAACAGTTTTTTGGGAGTATTAGATTCTGATGACAGATTTTGAGGATTATATTCCAGCTGTAATAGAATACCAGTAACAAAGCGTACGTGCAGATCAGCAAATTGCATCTGCCTTTATCTTTCAAGTTCAGTTGATATAGAATGTTTATAATTTTTTTTTAACAAAGTTTTTTTTTTTTCTTTTTGTCCTAAATAGGCATTGCTAGCTTTGGGCATCAGTCAGTCTGCGAGGACGCCTGACCCTAGTCATCCGTAAGCTTTTTGAGCAAATAATGATTTTGGTAATTATATATAGGTGTAAGATCGTTTTTTGTTTGTGCGTCACCTTGTTCTTTTTAATCTGCTGTTTTGTATAATTTCTGAAATGCATTGTTTCTGATTTTACAATAGATAAAATAAGAAGAGAGATTTTTTTCCAAACTGCAGGAGTTGTAGTTTCAGTGGCTTGATGCATGGTATATTTAATAATTTTTTTTTTGTGGTATGCTTTTTGATGTGTATTATTTTAATTGACATAATTTCTTTAAGTTTTTCTGGGCTCTTCTATGTCTTCCAGTGAATAGATTTACTTCGGTTGTAAACACCGTTACTGTGAATAACAGGATTTTTTTTTACATAAAAAGTGCTGTCCTGTTCCTGTTTTCAACAAAGTGCTTTTGTGCAAGGCAGCTATTTGTGTCATAAGGAGATGTGTTTGATTTTATCTGAGTAACAGGGATATTACAGTAAATTCTTACAACTTCATGAAAAGTTAGAAGCTATACTCTCTGTGATATTTTTTTGGTGTTGGCCTGCTTTATGCTTCACGTGTCTGGGCAAGTCATTCATCTACTAATTTACAGAATTAGTTAAAATTTTCTTTATCAAGAGCATGAGGTAATTTGAAAAATATTTTAATCTTAAATACAACGAATATTTAGATAAATTTCCTTCCCATCACGTTTTTCCCTTCTTCCTCAGTTTAGTCTTTTATACTATTGGTTTTTAAATGTTGCTGTTTGTAGTAGCAGTTTATACCAAAAAAAGGAATCAAGGTACACATTTAATACTGCTTTAGCTCTTCCCACTACTCTTAAAAACTGCAAGTATTGAATGTCTGCAATTAGCTGAACTACTTAAAGATGTCATACATTTGTGATTCTCCCCCTGTACTTTGCTCTTGTGAGACCTCACCTGGAGCACTGTGTTCAGCTCTGGGGCCCCCAGCATAACAACATGGACCAGCTGAAGTGGGTCCAGAGGAGGCCATAAAGATGATCAGGTGACTGGAGCACCTCCCTTGAGAGGACAGGCTGGGAGAGTTGGGGTTGTTCAGCCTGGAGAAGAGAAGGCTCCAGGGAGACCTTATAGCAGCTTTCCAGTACTTAATGGGGACTACAGAAAAGATGGGGAGAGACTCTTAATGAGGGAGTGATTGGATGAGGGGTAATGGTTTTAAAGTGAAAGAGGATAGGTTTAGATGACATGTAAGGAAGAAACTCTTTACTGTGAGGGTGGTGAGACAGTGGCACAGGTCGCCCAGAGAAGCTGTGGCTGCCCCCTCCCTGGCAGTGTTCAAGGCCAGGTTGGACGGGGCTTTGAGCAGTCTGGGCTAGTGGAAGGTGCCCCTGCCCATGGCAGGGGGGGTAGAACTAGAAGATCTTTAAAGTCCCTTCCAACCCAAACTGTTCTGTGAGCTTTTATTCCCTTTAAATTAGCCTTATAGGCAGCCAGTGTATGTGTTTTATAAGGCTAGAGTTTTCATTTAGAAGTAGCATTTCAATAAAAGTGACAGGAATGTTGTTGACTTTTGTTTTTTTACAGTAGTGAAATCATCAGTCTCTGCTCAGAAGCTAATAGAGCTGTGTAAATAGCTTGTTTAAAACCAAATTAGAAAAATACCTATGCTTGATGTCTTTGCATGTACTAGATAGCCTTTACCAGGTGTTTGTGTTTTCTCCAGTGTATTAGCTTGGATTTAGCAGCTTTGTCTTAAATAGATGCTCAGTCATATGATGATAATTTAAGACATGTAAAAATTAATGGAAAAAAACTTGTAGATATGTTTGCAGAGATATAAATCTTATTTTCCTAAATCAGTTTCTTTGTTTTGATCTAGGTATGGTTTCACAAACATGCGCTATATTGCCTCCCTGATTAGTGGGGTTGGCATTTTCATGATGGGTGCAGGACTTTCTTGGTATCATGGGATCATAGGTTTACTTCACCCTCATCCTATAGAATCTCTTGTCTGGGTAAGCTAATCTTTTTTGATATGAATCTTAACGCTGGTGACATCATAGAAACTAATGACACAGTGTGAAATTCACTTTCTGAGTCAGTATGAATCCCAACACAATTAACTCTAACTGTCCTTAATAAGAATGTGTATTAAGAAAAAAACGTTAAACTGTAGCTACAGCAAAATGGGCTGTTCTTTAAACCCTTCATCTTCCCTTCACACCTCCCAAGAGGTCGTCCTTTCCTAGTTTGAAATATATTTCATAATTCAAGTCTTGTTGGTTGCCTTCTTTTTAGGGACAGCTACAGAACTTCATTAGCGCAGTGGCTAATGAGGTTCTGGAATGCTGTGCTTGGATAGTCTGTAGTGAAGAGATCTGTACAAAAATACATACAGCATAATAATGGAGACTTTTTTTTTTTATACAGGCATACTGCATTTTAGCAGGGTCATTGGTATCTGAAGGAGGTATGCAGTCAAATATTTCTATTTAAGTATCTGTAATCTTGAAGAGAACAGTGTAATTACTGTAATAATTGATTCTTGCTTACACAGTAAAGTTTTGAGTTCTATTGCAAATACTTGTGTTGTAAACAACAATAAAAAGTAGGAAAAACTTTTTTCTTATATTTATATTAAGTTGAAGAACACATAATTTGAAAAGTATATGTAGAATGCCCTTTTGGTATTAAATTATCAATGAATATGACTGCTCTGATTTGTATGGGAGACACATGTAGAAAAGAAGGTAACTTTATGCTTTGTCATTATTCAAAGTATCAATAATCAGAGCTTTCTTGGTGATCTGTGGCTGTGATATAAAGTTCTGTCTTTCCAAAACGGAAACAAGTTTTTTTGCCTCTAACCATTTTCAGCAACTACTTTGCTGTTGTTTCAGCTACCCTTCTTGTTGCTATAAATGAAATTCGCAGGAGTGCTCGAGCCAAGGGTCTGTCATTTTATCAATATGGTATGTGTCATTATAGCAATAAGGTACGTAGTTACTTAAAACAGAATCTATTTACCAGTATTTGCATAATGATGGCAACAATTTTAGCTGTTTTTCCTTTCCCTTTGCTTTAATGATCTGTTTTCCATTCTAGTAACAAATGTATTTTACAGATTAAGTGAAAACCTGTTGATTTAAATAACACTACTTAGATATTTTTGCTAAACTACTTGCATTTTTCAGAATGAATGCCACTTTACATTTTGCAAACATTTTGGAGAAGCTTCCATAATTGGCACAGGGCTTGTTCTGTGTATTTATGAATGCTTTCAGAGTGTGTGCATATGCAAAAATTCAGTTTACACCTATGTATTTATGGAAATTTTTCTTTTAAATTAGTTGCCGGTGTTAGTATGGCTTAAGTACGGTGCAGAATGTAGTAAAGCCAAGCTTTCCAAAGCAATGTCATTTTTTTGTTGTATACGCAGTTGTGCAGAGTCGTGATCCTAGTACAAATGTGGTTTTACTGGAGGATGCTGCAGCAGTTCTGAGTGTGGCCGTGGCTGCTACCTGCATGGGTCTCACTTCTTTAACAGGTAAAATTCTGCCTCAACCTGAGGCAAGCAGGATGTGAATTTCCTCCTGTGCATGATATGAACACAGAGTATTTAGTTTATATTGGTTGACTTAAATACATCTCTACTGTTTTTCTGATACTTTATAAGCTATACTATATAAGCTTCTGGAGATTTATACAGTTGTCTGATCTGATTTCTAGTAGCTTGAGTTGAAAAAACTCAAAGTGGGTTTTTTTATGTGTCTATTATTGGTGAGGTTGAGCTTGAAACAGTACATGCAGATGGGTCTAACTTCCTTTTGAGCTATTTTGTCATGCGAATTAAGGTATTTTTTACTAAAGGTATATTTATTGCACTCAGTTGTATGAATAACTTTCTGCCATGATGGGATTACATAATTTGAGTTTCCTTATTCGGTGGTGTGCAGCTCCGTTGTACGTGGGAAGGATTTTTTCTTCCTTTTGATCCATAGTGGTATTAGTGCTACCTTCAGATTACAGTAGCTGCTACTGAACAGTGTGGCAAACCTAACTCACGCAGGTGGGATGATCTATATGGCAACAGATTCAAAGTCGTTTTGCTGCACAGTTACGTTTTCTAAAGAGGAAAGATTATTTGTCTCTTTTGAAGTATTGGCTTTTGGCTTTTAAATTGTTAAAAAAAGACAGTTTTGTTTCTTTGTGGCTTCTAGTGAGTTAATTTTAAGTTTAATTTTTTTATATAGGAGTCCATCTCTAGTTTCCTTTATAAACTTAAAAATACATTACTGTTTCTACAAATCTGAATATGAATGAATATGTGTTTAAAATATACATAAATACTGTAGTCCAGAAATGGTTAATACTTGCAAGTTTTTGAGTTACTGATAAAAGAACATAGACTTTTGTGCTTAGGCATATATAATTTTATATTAATAAAGGTAAATCTATAACAGAATACCAAATAGCTGATGAGTTTTACTTGTTTATTAATCTTGCAGGAGACCTGAGTGGCTTAGGGACAGGAGGGACTTGAGGCTTTATTGTAACTTAACTTGTTTTCTTCCAGCTTCATCTTGTTTCTCAGTAGGAAAGAATTGTCAGTGCATTTAAAAAAACCCCACAAATAAAAGCCAAAAAAAAAAAAAATCCCACCAAAAAGCAAAGCCCCCAAAACCCCCCCAAAAACCCCAAACTAGGTACTCCTTTCAGTGTGAAATCTTAAATTATCTGCTATGTTTTGGAAATGCTCTGTGAAACTAATTTGACATATCTTGTTTAGGAAACCCATATTATGACAGCGTGGGGTCTCTAGGTGTAGGAACTTTGTTAGGAACTGTGTCGGCGTTTCTAATCTACACTAACACTGAAGCCCTGCTGGGACGATCCATTCAACCCGAACAACTGCAGCGACTCACTGAGTTACTGGAAAGTGATCCTGTAGTAAGGTAAGAATCTTTACAGTTCAATCTCTACTAAGAAAAAGCAAGAAAATAACATTTGGAAAAATAGTTCAGGCACATTAAATGAGAGAAATCTGGTCAGATTAATAATTTTTAGGGTGGATTCTGCTGTATTGAAATTGTAGAATCTTGATTATTACTAACTTCTATTTTTGTACTAAAAATTTCAGTAAGTGAATACTCATACCACTCAGATGTTCCACAGCTGAAATAAAATTGCAGATGTGTTCTAACAGTTAACATTAATTACTGGAGTTGACAATGACATAATGAGAAAGCCATCAGAACCTTAAAACTGTTTTCAAATGCTTGAAATGCACGCACTTAAATGATACTGTAATGTTGCTTTTATAGTTTATTAGCACTTAATATTTAAATTCTGTTACTGTTACTATTCAGTGTCTGTAATTCTGTAGCAGTTGGCAGTTAAGTGCTGCAGTAGTATTTTGATGTAAGAGATTCTGCATGTTAGACACTTACAGAATTAACTCCATGCTAGCTTTTCTTTGGAAATCTGCAAATTGTAGTGAAACTTAAAGCTTATTGTAGTTATGAAATCTTGTTTAAATACTTTTTCAGGAGCTATTTTAGCTTTAACCCTATTAACTTTGATTTAGAAGTAAACCCCTTTTTGTTCTTAATTATTTTGGTACTTTTAAAATTCGTAGTAATTACTGAGCTCTGGAGGAAAAAGCCCAAACCCATTAGTTAGTTTCTTTCAAGTATTCTGGGTATTAAGTGCTGAATCATCTCACTTGCAAGCAACAGGTCTGAATGACATGCCCTTCATTCCAGAAGCTAAACAAGATTCCTGTTTTGGAATAGAATTGTGTTAGAATTTTCATGTCAATAACTAAACGCTGCCTAAAGTGTTTCTGGTGGCTCTGGATTAGTCTGAATGGTGGAGCATGTGTCAGCAGTGCTGTGTTAAGAGTAGGTGAGCTCGCATGGTTATTTGTACGTGACTTCTGTAGTTCTTTCTTCCAGAGTGCACATGTGGCTTTTGCTTGCCTCAGGCTGGAATCATAAAATTTCTCCTATCCCAAGCACCATTTTATGTTATATTCCATTTTGTAGATGGCTATAACTTTTCAACAGAGCAGACTTAGTTAATCTTCTTGCTGTAGACATTTTTTAAAACAAGAAGTAACTTAGTTTTAAAAAAACATGAAGAGTAAAAAAAGTGAAGCCTTGGTAAGAAACTGCATGTTTCTCTTTAGGTTAGAAGCTGAAATACATTTAGGTACTTATAATAGCATTTGCAGGATCTTCTCTATGTACTTAGCCTTGAGTGATGTCTGTCTTAGATTCATTTGTATGTACTTAGTCTTCAGTGATATCTTCCTTAGATCCATTACATTACTTGCTTTGATTCTTTTAGTGCATGCTTTGACCAAATTCTTTTAACAAGCCTAATATATTGAGCTTGGTTAACTTACATCTTCTAATAAGATGCCTAGTCTTGATCTCAAAATTCTCCAAGATGTAAACATATATTACCCTTGCTTGTAACTAGGTATAATTTGGGGAAAAAGCTACTTTTTTTCTTTTTTTTTTCTTACTCCAGTCTTTGGTTAGTTATGTTTTTTGGTTTGTTTGTTTTCAACTTTTTCTTGTAAAATGAGGAAGTCTTTTAGTATCAGGTATTTCTTCAAGAGGCTACTGGTATGTTTTCATCAGCATAGCTTTGGGCTTATAAGGTTTACAGCATTTTCTTGAATGTTCAAACTCCCATTTTTTTAAATGGAGTTATGTAGTCATATGTCTACTCTTACATTTTTTTCTTACTGACACCAAATGTAAAAGAAAAAGCTCCTGAGTGAGTACTGGCCTGCTTCTAAAGCTGTGACTAATATTTGCTCTTTTTATTTTAACCTTTCAGGCTTTTCAGCTATCAAGCTGTATGTAAGTTCTAAATGCAATTCTTTTTGCAGTTGCTGCTTCTCGGAACAGTCCTACCTTGTTCTTTCAGGGAGGGTTTGCAATCTTTATTTTCAGATGTGTTCTGCCATATATGAAGGGGATTTATTAAGGAATCATTTAGTATTCATCAGAAGGTATTTTAGATCCAAATTGACCAAAGGATCTAGAAGCTCTGACTTTAGCTCCCTCCTGCCTTATCAGTGCCACCACCACTTAACTTACCATTCCAAGAGTAGCTTTCCTGAACATCATGTTCTGCTGCTAATTATGAAGTATTTGATTTATCAGACAGTACTGATTGCTGTACTACTAAAATAAATAATCTATGATGTTGATCATTTTTTCAGCTGAATCTTGATTATTTTTTTTTAATCAGGGTTGTGTGACAAGACCTACATTGCTTACAACCATGAAGACTGGAATTAATGCTGTTAATTTTTTCCCCCACCTTTTTCACTATTTTAGTTGTCAGGTGAAGTTGTCTTTAGTTAAATGGATTGTCTTATTTGCTGTTCTTAAATTTTGGCACAGTGTTGTTAATCTATTTTTTTTTTTTTAATTCTCATCAGTATTGCAGGTTGAAAAATTAATTTGCCTTCACAATTGTTCTTAGTTCTTTTTACTCTTGAATGAAAGTTATGGAGCCTGCTGAATTAGAAGTTCTTTTTTCCATTTAAATGTCCAGTATGCTTTTCTGCCACTAATAGGGAAATGCTTTGTTTTACTAATACATTGTTTTGCTTTTTTAGATCAAGAAAACAATGATTATTGCATGTTTCTGCGTATTCTGTATCATCAGTAACAATTTTAACATTTGCATCTAGTAGCAGGCTTGTTTCCAGGTTATCCTTTGGTCTTGTCATATTTAGAAAATGTTGGTTTGCATCACACACAATGCCTTTTCTTTATGCTTGTATCAGTTTTCTAGACTTTTTTTTTTTTTTTTTTAGGTTCATGGCTATTTATTTCCCCTTTCTTTTAATTTTGCTTGTTAATTTCTAGTGTTAGCCCTTATTTCATTTGTGATCCAGAATGGGCTTTCAGTCAGAGTTTTTCTCAGCTGGAAAATTATTTAATTTTATTTTTTGCTATACAAACATTCCGTTCTTATTCATGCCTTTTGTGCCTATATCTTTCTTGTGTTCAGCTTACCTAAGTGTACGAGATTAGGATTTCAGAACTGTGAAATAAAACATACGATGTGGTGCAGACTGTCCTGATTCTGTTCTTACGGAATATAATCATGAATACCTAGGCATAAACTATTCTTAGTGACAGTTTAATCTTTAATTTTTACTTAATTGTAACAGCTCTTAAGTAATTATGCTACCTTTGTGCTAGAATATCTGTCATTCTGGTTTGGAGGAAAGAAAAGTATTACAGTTTATGGCTCAAAACTAGTAACTTAATGTCCTCTGACAAATTTTTCTTTAAAGTGAATCTTGCTTTTTTCCTTAGTTTAAATTGATAGCGTCTATTAGCCATCCAGAAGCTTCCATAAGCAAGCTTTGTAGCTTAAGTTTTAGCATACACATTTGTATTTTTGAATTATTAGTGATTTTTCTTCTCCTGACCCACTATCTTATCTTTTCTGGACAGATAATAAGCAGTAAGGTAGACTTTTTTTCCTTCACATTTACAGAATATGCATCATTCCACTAAATTTCATCAGGTTATTGCTTAATAAGGATCTCAAATATCTCTTGTTATCTTCTTTCTTAGCTCTGATAGGCACTTGAAATATATTCAGCATTTTTGAATCACATGGATTCAAATTCTCTTCAATAACCCTCATTGAACCACATCTGTTATCTTAAATACCCTCTTGTGTGAGGAAGTAGTTTGATGCCAGTTAGGTTATTCCAGTTAATACTGTTTTGATTTGGTAGCTTCCCACAGAATAGTTGTGTAAATTTGATCAGAACTGGAAATTCTTTATTTCTACTAGTAAACTGATAATTCTTTTAATCTGTACAAATGTTTTCTAAGATGTATTTTTTGGTGTCTCTGTTTAGTTCATGTTCTGTTTCTTTTTTAATGTGCTGACCCCTCTTCCACCCCAAGTATTACAAGAAATATTCTATACACATTTCCTGTGACTGTTCATCTTAAATTTCCTTGTGCTGTTCGCTCTATCAGGCTACTTCGAAAATACATGTTTTCTTCCTTTACTGCCTGTGAAGTTAATTCTGATTTATAAATGTTCAGATGAGAAGAAACATTTCTAGTTGGGAAGAGTAAATTTGCTTAAGACAAAATGCATGCTAAATTTAAAGATGCTGTGAAATTGCACAACTTGGTAAAATGAAGGTGAAAAAAAAGTTTAGTACTTTTCATCAAGTGAGCTTTGTTGCTGAATCTAAATTTTGTATCAATGAAAAAAATTGTCAAGATTGCATTTTTCTGTTAATAAAACTAAAGTCTGTGGCATATTTTATAGTTGACCTCAGATACTTGTTTTGCTTCGGAACTGTCAGAACAAAAAATTTCAAAATTTGAAACTTCTTTGTGATATTTGTCCCATATTTTAGTCTCTACTTTTTTCCTGGCCTTGATGGAAAAATGTCGAAGCTTACTCTGCAGTGGCAATTTTAAAGTCTACTTGGCTTTAAAGATGAACTAAGTTTGTGTTAATCTGAATTTAAAAAAAAGAGTATTTTATGATTTCATTTAATATTTATTCCACTGGTGAAATGCACCACAATATGTCTGTGTTCTGAGTTTTCTTCAAACCTTTTTTCTCTGAAAAATACAGGGCTTTTTGTTCATTACCTATATTCACATGTAATGGAGTTTATCTAACTGTAACAAAACTATGGCATAGAAAAGCATAAGTTTTCAAAGAACTAAAATATAAACATAATGCATCATTTGTGTTCCAGTATCTATTAGGAACCTTCAAATAAATATACATTTGCAGCATTTACAAACAGCTGTACTGTGATTAGTTGTGATGAATAATAATTCCGTACGATCAAAAATTAGTTCCAAACACAATACTCATAACTTCTTATAACTTCTTATAACAAATGTAACTTTGAATAGAAGATTCTCTAAAAGGTCATGTCTTTACAAATTGTAATTACCTAGGAAAGGACACTTCTGTAATTGCAATGTGTGCTTTGAGTAGTTGACAGGAGGTTATTGTTCCTTACCTCAGAATTGTGGCTACTTAAGAGATTGTTAACTAGTGTCATGTACATGTATATGCACAAAAACTTTTGTGCAGTAGCAAATAAGTTGAATTTAAAAGTTTAATTCAGAATAGGGAAGTTCTCACTTTCTATTGTGGGTTTGATTGTTTGGGTTTTTTTTATATACTATTAGTGTAGTTCTAAATCTGCAGTGCCTCTTGTAGTCTGTCTTTTATCGCAGCAAACCATTTATAGACATGTTGGTGTAGCAGATACCTGTGGAAGTGATATAACCAGTTAAATATAAATCAGTGTTTAATGGAAGTGTGTGGTGGCAAAACCAGGATATGTTAGTCAAAGGCAGTGGCCTTTTAAAATTACAGGATCATTTTACTGTGACAATATTGTTAACCTCCAAAGTCAAACTAGATAGTTTGTTTTACATTGTTCTACATTTCTTTAAAAATTATGTGTTTCAGAGCAATTCATGATGTTAAAGCCACAGACATGGGAATGAGCAAAGTGAGATTCAAGGCAGAAGTAGACTTTGATGGACGGGTTGTTACTCGTTCTTACCTGGAAAAACAAGACATTGAACAGCTGCTACAAGTATGTTTTAAAAAAAAATATTTTGTAATTTCCAGTATTTTATATTTACCTTCCAATTTCAAGTATGTCTAAACCCAAGTTTTTCAAGTAGGTAAGATATATTCCACTTCATTTTGAAGGATTGCAGATGTTTTTACTTTGTGTTAGTGTGTTAAGTATCTGTACACAGAATTGTATCATGCGCTGCTGAAATAGAGCTGCTTTCAGCTGATTAGGGCCTGAGTAGGAGGAAGGCAGTTTTTTTTAATTTAATTTTTTGTTAGATAGTACAGATTTGTCCAAAATAGTTTTAATGAGAACATAATTATTCCAATGAATTTTTACTGAATTACAAGATCTCTAGTTAAAACTGGAAGGCTTACCTGAGAATAAGCATCTGTTTTGGCAGAGCTATTCGTCTTGAGTGCTGAAGAAGCAGTGTTACGGTTTACAGATCCTGTTCTTCAGACTAGGCTTGAATATGGATTGCTTGCATCACATGACTTAGCATTTCGAGAGCGTTTAACAATTAACCATCCTTAAGTAAGTGTCTCTGATTTTAGTGTTTTTCTTTAAGAAAAGTAGCTTTTCTTAATCCCTCTCTTCAATACAGAAATGCAAAACTGCTTTTAGCTGGGTTCTACATGGCACAGCTATGAAGTATGAAGATAGTTTATTTAAATTACAATGAGAATTTGAAGTGAGCAAAATGTTTTGCTTGCTTAACCCAATTTCAGAAGACTTGCTTCTATACATTTGCTTGTATACCTACAAGATTTCTTTCTTTGCTACCCTTTCAGAGTGAAAAGTAGATGTCAAATGTCTGCATTTTATGTCTGTTAAACATGACTTAGAAGTTATCTGAGTTTACATTTAAATTACTGCAGTTTTTCAAACCATTAGTCAGTGTCCCAGTTTTTAAAAAGTATTGCCGTTTAATGTCAAAATAAGGATGTATGTGTATTATATATGTAGTGCAATATGTGGTCTGTTCATGTATTGGATTTCAATTGAATACATTTTTGAGAGAAAGGATGCTGTTGGCTTTGTACAGCTGAGGCACTGCTTGGTTTTACATAGCCAAGTCTCAGTTGCTTTGTTGTTGCAGCTGTTTAGCGCACTATGTTTCTTTTCAAGGCCTTGTTAGCTTTTTTCTTTACCCCTTGTTCCATTTGGCAATGGCATATGAACTTTGCTGGTTCTTCCAACTAGTATTGTTGGAAAAGTTCTTCCTGATTGTTTCTTACACAGGTCATTGTAGTTTATGTAGTAACCTCGCATCAGCTGCAGAACCAGTGTTGAAGGATGGCTGCTTTCAGTAGGACTCAGCCACCCGAAGTCAAGGGCAGACATAGTGCTTGCCTTTTGATCTCTAGTTTTTCAAATAACTAGCTCATTCAGCTAACGTTGCTATCAGCATTACTCTTTCTAAAGTTGTGAAATACTGGTTAAAATGCTGCCATTTAGATTAATCTCATTTGTTTTTCTTGTTAGACATGCTGTGATCATTGTCATACGTTATTGTAGTTGGGATATCTTTTAAACTCAATTACATTATTCCTCTTCAGTTTTAGAGTAGTGGGGTGGGAGAGAAATTGGTATGTTGTAGTTGTATACACAAGAAGAATTAGCTATTTAATAATTTGTCTGTTAGGAATAACCTATTTGTCCTAAACATACTGCAGCTGTATTGTCTAAACTATGGCTGAGACACTACAAGGCAAATGGCTTCTGGGCAGCTTGGTGTGAGGCTTCCAAGGAAAGCTCATGACAATGCTGTAATACCTGCTTTGGTGCTTTCGATGTCTCTGGGTTTTTTTGAGGGAGGAACATAGCATCCTGTCTTCCTTAACCTTATTCTTTCAGTCTTGTATGCTATGAGTCTCCTAGTCTGACTTCCTATGAACTGTCTTTGAGCTTTTTGATATTATGGAGGAGCCATATTTACAGCAGCATTCATAGTAATCCTTGTGAATTTTCTGATGAGCTGGTAACGTGATGCCCGGAGTAAGTGTTGCAATGGTATAGCAAGAATGTATGAAATTGAGGAATGAATACACAGAGGCACCCTGCTCTGCCTTGCTGTGAGCAAGGGATACCCCAGAAACTTCTGAAAACTAATGAAATTCTTTAAACTTACTTGGAAAATAATCCCTTAAAGATAGAATAAGGTTTTATATCAAGTATAGGTGTAATGGTAAGCCATCTGTTTTCATTGAATAGATGCTACTTTTCTGTGTCTTTGAGACATAAGAACAGATGATGTTTTGAAAGGAAATGGCAAAAGCTGAAAAGTATTTGGGGTTTTTGGTGTTTTTTTTCCCCACTTGAAATATGTCAGGACCCTCTGTAGTCTTACTCCTTTCTTTTCTTTCCCTCATCTCAACCTATTAAATTTGATTTCTTCCTAGGAAATTCAACAAGTAAAAACCCTTGAAGAATTAGAAGCCTTCATGCTTAAGCATGGTGAGAATATCATTGACACACTGGGAGCTGAAGTAGACAGACTTGAGAAAGACCTAAAGGTAAAACTTATCTGCATATTAGTGAGTGCTTATTCTGTGATATATATTTTAAACAATATCACTGCATCTGCGTTTTGGGATTTTGTTTGTAAATATGGGAGAGGGGAAGTGGTTGATAATCTTTTCTTGCTATAATATCATTAACTAAGTTCTGACCATCAGCAAACCCTTACTTTGCCATTAATCCATTTGTTACATATTTTGTTCAGTGTACCAGTGTAGAACAATGTTTTCTTTAAATAGGACCTGATTGTGTCTTTGTTACTGTATTCTCAGAATGTCAGGTTATTTACAGACTGTTGAATTCTGTTTTGGTTGTAAAGAAGCAAATTTCTTTTTTTTAAAAAATCTAGTACTTAGCTTTGTATCAAATACATCAGTGTGTGTGATAAGGGCTTTAACAGTTTTTGCTCTTGTTGAAGCAGTACAGCGTTTACTTCTACAAGCCAGTTGTAACTTTATAATTTTTTTTTCATTCTGTGATTTAAATATCCTTTGGTTGATGCAACAAAGGATTTTTTTCAATTTTTAATTTTATAATTACATTATGGCTGTTAGTTCTAACGTTTGTAGCGTGAATACAGAACTATAAGTATACTGACTGCCAGACAAATACAGTACTGTCATGACTGCCTTTTCTGGTCACCAAGAGACACTGCTCCAGAGCATGTCTGTCCTTGTTTATTATATTTGGTAAATATTCTAGTTTTAGTTATCCCTCGAGTGTTCTTGTTTAAAAATAAAAATATTATTTTTAATTGCACAAGCATATCCAGTTCTTCATGGTTTTTGAGGAGTAGGATCATGACTAATTATTTTATAAACATGAATACTGGTTTTTGGTATAGGCAGGGATTTCAGTGATTGTGTTGCTGTTGAATATGCATTACTAAATATGCTAGTCAGGTTCATATGCTGGATGACTTTGTCAGAAAACCTTTCATGGATTATACAATCCATATAATGACAATAACATTTCTACAATATCAGAAAATGCATATTTCTTAATAGAAACAACAGTTTGAATGTTTATAAATGGCTTAGGACAAAATAGCATAGAACAGGTTATTTCAGCAATATTATCCATTTTTTAGGAAAGTATCTGTTTAAAACTTTTAAAGTGAGATATATATGTATGTTTATTTGAACAGTTTTGTGTAAAAACTGCCTTTTTAAAATTGACAGCTGCTTCATACTTTTTATAAAGCATAAGAACCAATTTATCTATGATATTGAAAAGTATTTGTCAGATGAAAAGATGACTTAGCCTTATATAATTGCATTATATAATTGCTTATAACATGGGCAGTGTTTGTTGAAGCTATTCCTCATTTTAAAATAGTTTCTATGTTACCAGAAAAGGGGATTTTTTTTTTTACCCAGTTGCCAACATCATACCAGAAATACATTATTTGTATCCATTTGCAAAAAAATTGTTTGAATGTTTTCAATAATTTTTTTTTTTCTTTCAGCAACGAAATCCTGATGTTCGTCATGTGGATTTGGAGATACTATAGGCTCAGCAGAAGAAATCTTCAGGTTGCTACCATTTGGGAAAGAAGTCATGTAAAGGGCTGAAAAAGCTTTTGGAATTGCAGTGACCTCAGCACCATACCTCGCTTACTTTTGCTGTAGGCTTCCTGGACTGTTAGCACTCTTTCTGTTTTTGGAAGAGCTCTAGACTCGCAGACAAAAATTTCCATGGCAAAATCAATTTTAAAAAGCTGCTTGACTTAAAATTCCACAGGAGAGTCTGTTGGAGTGTATTTACTGCAATCCAGAACTTAAGACTTGAGGTTTAGTTAAGCAAATATAGCTGCCTGAAAATATACAACACTTAGTTTTCCATTTGTGTCCCTTTGCAGCCAGTTTGCACTTCTTTAGTTTCTTTCAAGATATCATTCAAGGTTCTTGGGAGATATTAAGATTAGCTAGGAAGAGTTTGTTCCAGTGGAACCTGCCAACCTTAAACTAATTGTAATATTTCAACTGTGTGATTGTTTCACAGTTTTTCTTTTCTATGAGATAAATTCTTTCAAATAGGCACTGGCCTCTCAAGTACCATGACCTGGAAACCTGCTTTTTGCCACCGTTGTGATTACCAGCTGCACTTCAGAAAAATAAGGTTTTTCTCCTCAGTGGCGTCAGCTGTTTGTGGTTAGCCAGAGTATGTTATGTTACTGTGAAGAAGTTGCTGTGTAGAGATTTCAGTGAACTTCCTCTGTTTGAACTTTGTTCTTTTTTCCTACTTTGACACTTGTTCTCTTATTTGTAAGTATCTTCAGATGTAATCTGAGAGATATGGTAGTGCTTATTAAAAGTTATCTGGCATTTTTGGCTTTTTATACTTCTAATAGGCTGCTATTGCCAGACAGGGTCTTTATTAGAAGGTGTATGAAATATAGTTGGAAGTTACAATAGTCAAAAATGTATTAGAACTATTTATAATTAAACAAATGAATACATTGTATTTCTAATTTATTTACCTCTAGGCATTATCTGTTACCAGAATTCTAAACCGCTTACTTTGTGTTTTTTAAGAATTGACCTTGCTTGTCTGGGAAAGTAAAATAATTTTATTAGTGGTTCTCCACAATCCTGAGATAAATCCTCCGAGTTTATAACTTTGAATTCTATTTTTGTTCAACTTTATCTTTGAGTTCAATTCTAGCACCATGTATAATCAGCCTTAAGACTTTCTGCAATAGGCACCCAAATTGCACTGGATTCTTTGAGACCTAGTCTTTATTAGTAAGGCCGTGAGTACTGATCATGCAAGTTGACTTATAAGTGAAATAACTGCATATAAATAACTTTGAGGAAAATCTTTTATGCACTTTAACAAATTTCAGTAAAATGAGAATTGCTTATGGGTGAGAGGTGGTAATAAGACCTTCTTAGTGACTCAGTTGCTGAGTAATGATTGACTTGCTGAAAGAAGAAATGTTGATATGAAACACAAGTCCTCAAAAATCAATTTAAGATCAAATTATAAGTATTGCAGGAAATAATAATGGTGGAGACTCATATGTTCGGAGTTGACAAAAAGCTTTTTAGAATTTTTTTTTTCATACTTTGTCACTTACCAGTGAGTTAGGAGAATTTAAAATAGCATGCCTTTTGACAACTGCAAAGTACTTGCATGCTGGTCATTTTAAATAGAAAAACATTCCAGAATTTAGTTACAGACAAGATTTCACATACAGTAATTGGGTGAAGGGGTCTCTTTAGTACCCTTGTCCATAATCCCAGTTCACCAGTGGTTTCTTTATAGCGTTTTAGTTTATTATGGCTAATCCAAAAGAAGGCTTACTTTATCTGGTTTTCTTTGATTGTAGAACTAGTTAGTATATTTAAGTCTAATGATTTGAAATGCAGTTTAAAGGTAATTTGGAAGTGTTTATTGAGTAAATAAGGTATATTTTAGCACATTATAAGTTACTTATCTTTCACCTCACACTTCCATGTAAACTTCATCTCATCTCAGTATGCACTCTGCTGATGTTAGTCTTATTCATGAAGAGCACTGGAAACTGATGATGCATAACCTTTTTCCTTCTTCCTAGAATATTTATATAGATTTTGAATTTGGGTGAACACTATAATAAACCCGTTATTTCAGAAATCTTAAAACCTGAAAAGAAATAAAACTGGAAAAAAGTTCTTATTGGGGAGGTTGGTGGAGACAGTCAGTGTGAATGAGTAGTGTTAGGATACACTTTGCAGGGCAGAAATTTCACTGAGAGGTTAGTAAATGTTATCTCAATACTGAAGTGTTCCCATATCTTGTTTGAGGGGAAGCATAAGTTTATATTCTTACAGGGCATCTGCTCCAAAAGCCTATGAAAATGTTTTCATATTCATCAGAGATGTAATTTGCATGAATTCTGATCTTAATTTCCTTATCTGAGTCAGAAGCATCCCATCCACACACCTTTTGTTTGTATTCCAAGATAAAATTCAGATCCTTGTCTCCCAGTTATGTTATTGGTTGTAGCATCACAATGTTAAATTTAAGAAGCCAGAACTTGAATGGGTTTTGGTACAGAACAGTTGCATAGTTTGAGGACCCAGTTCCATTTTTACAAATGATGTGGATGGTAATGTACCACAAAAAGGCAGGCAGACTGGTTTTGGCGGTACCATGTCCGTTTACATGTCTTGCAGTTGGATGAAAATATGGATTCATTGAGCCTGCCAGGTTGGAAAGGAAAAGTAATTCCAAGCTGTTACATTTTAATGTACATTATAACTTTAAAATGGTTTTTAACAGTTTTGACATTTTTACTGCTTTTTTTTCTTAACTGTCTTCATGGTCTAAAACTTGAGGTGACATGGGTCCAGTACTTAGTTTACTTTTGGTTTAGTGTTTTCGGGGAAAATGTTTAGTTAATACATTTATGTGAGAGAATCCTCAGAATGAAAGAAAACTTACAAAGTGTGGAGGAGTGGATTTTTTCTTTATCACAAATGAAATTATATAATGTTTCTTTTAGATTGATTTTAAGGAAAAGGAGTGAGAATTTAGCTAAAAATAAAGTTATGTTCTAGGATTTTTCAATAAGGTTTGGTCTTTAAAATTATTCTTATAGACTGGCCTTGCAGGTTCTGTTTTTTCAGATTGCTTTCAAAGCACTGCTGTCCTCTGCTTCTTGAGAGATTGTTTATGTGGTGCACAATCTCTCATAATTCTGTAAAACTTGTGATGTTTGAAAAAAATGTCTTAGTGTTCCAATATACTGAGTGATCTTAATGTATTTGAAGTCAAAGTTGGCTGGACACTAATAATATCTGTTTTCCTGTAGAATTTGTTTTTCTATAAGAGATAAAATCCTGAATCCCCCATGATTCAATTTCAAGTCTAAATTGTTTCCTTTGTATACTATGGAATTCAGTATTAGATGTGGTCCCCCTCTACCCCTCCACTTTCTAAAGCATTTGTTAAGCATATTGTAGTAGTAAATATTTCAGTGGACTTCTGTATTACAGAGACTGTTTGTTGTGTGTTCTGGTCTAGAAGTAGCAGGGACTCAGGGAACAGAAGAACATATTTTTTTAAGGACAAGTTGCATCATTTATTCTCTGTGACTCATACTAAAACTGGAGGGTTTTTAGCCTCTGCTTTTCTCCTTCTTCAAATTCCCACACAGATTTTTTTTTTTCTTAACTCTTAGAGAAGGAAGCCATTATGAGCATCTTATGATTTTAATAGCAGGGCTATATACTATTCTTGGTCTCTGGATTTTGTACTGTACTTCTTGTTCATTAATAGTTGACAACAGTGATTGCTGTTTTGAAAGCTACAAATTATGTTAGCCAAAGCTACCATGTTTTCTGATTTTGGTAGGTGCAGTTTTTTTCAGCTATATCCAGAGACTCAGTTTTTATTGACAGATCTTTCCTGGCTTCCTTTTGATAAGGGGGAATACAGGGTAGAGTTTTAGGTATGTTTTGTTTAGATAATACACTGATTGCAATTCAGTGTTCTCCTTACTTGTTATCATTTTAGCTGACCTCTTTTTTCCTTAACAAAGGAAGAAGGTACTTCTGGAAGTACCTCTGCTAATGATGAGTGCATCGAATACAGGCTTCCTGCAAAGTTTTTAGGCTTTTATATATTGAAAATGTGGCAATTTAAAAAAAATTCTAAAGTAATCCTTTTTTTAAAGCTGATTTAGATGTGTTTCTTACAAAAGAATCCACAGAGGCATATTGTTTAAGATTTGAAAGTATTTCATTTTATGGTCATATGTTCTTAAGAGAATTTGGTTTGGTAGAATAGAACAATCGATTAATGTTGACTTCTGTGCAAAACCTGAACTTCTGTGCATGCCTTAAGGCTTACACTGCAGAAGGGAATATAAAATGACAATGTACTTTCTTTTTTTTCTATCCTAAGTATTGTGCTGCTTCTGTTCTTATTGTTAGCTTTGAATAGAGAGTACAACTAACATCTCGTTTGCAGTTTACCTGCTTAATATAAGTGAGATGTTGAGGTGTACCAAAAAAGATTTTTTCTTTTGTAGAAGGGTTGCATAGCTTAAGTAATTTTTCCTTTCTTGTTAGTGAGACACAAATAATTAAGAACAAAAGTAGACTATATCCTTATTACATAGTAAAAGAAATAGGAATCCAGGCTTTAAAGGACAGTAATCAGATTCTTGAAATGCATTGTCCTTTGAGGAAAATAAAATGTGTCAGGAGCTCTAAGTGGTTGTATGGACTATAGAAGCTGCAGTCAATCAGGCTTTGCTGAAGCAAAAGAAAAGAAACTATAACAAAGTGTGTGGTAAAAAGAAAAGAATACGAGGAAGGAGAAAAACCCTGAGGTGTTGAGCACTTGGGAATAGGAAAAGATGAACACAGTCTAAAAAACGTGTCCAGAAACAAGAAATTACGATTGGAGAGGAAAACAACAGTAAGAAGTTGTTTGATTAGGATGCATAAAACTATGTAGTATGATATTCTCTTAGCAATATTCAGATATTTGGGTGATTTCTCCTCCACAGCCACAGTGAAAACTCATCTCTTTTTTTTTTTTTTTTTTTTTTTTTCCTGTGATGAAAATCAGTGCCTCCGTTTTATCTGTTTCCTTATATGGTATTCAGTCTCGCAGGTATAAACCTATTTCCCTTCTGAAATCTTATTGCTAAGGCTGATGGTATAATCTCGGTCTGGACCTTTGTTGGTGAGGTATGTATTTGGTGAGTGGAGGGTGAGTAATTTTAATTGTGTAATGAGAACTGGAGTGAATTAAAGAGGAAATAAATTGATTCAGGCAGAAAATGACTGAAGCAGTCATGATTCAGGCAGAAAATGACTGAAGAGGCAGAAAATGACTGGAGATGTTATGAAAAAAGAAAAAAGGCACAGTATTCTAAGGTCTACAGAATTCTTGCAGTGAACTGTAATGGGTGAATATGTTAGTCCATATTTTTCAAGTTGCTTAAATATCTGTGGATAAGCAAGATTTCTAGTTAAATCATCACATTCTGAGAAGGAAAACATTCAAAACGTAATGTGAAAAGGATGTACGTTTTAAAAATACCACAGACAGCTACTATAAGATGATAGTAGATAGGCAGAAAATTGTTGTTCTATCCTCTATTACATGAAGCTCTTGAGGACAATTTATTTTTTCTGTGTAAATCAAAGCTGCCAATTAAAAGGGCTTGGTTACTTTTTATCAGTGTTACACTAATAGTAAGCCTGGTCAGATTTCTGTATTGCCAGTGTTCATAGTGCTGTTGTGGGGAGAAGGTGCCTGTTAAAGTACTGGAATATAGCTCCACACTCCAGAATACATTTGATTTTTGTAACCTAAATTTAGACTGTATTTAAAATTTTTGAGGTTGTGATCAGCTGCTTCAAATCTGAGGACAAGAAAAAAAAATGCAGTGTTGTATAAATGATGTAATACAAACTTTTTTTGGTAAGTTTCTCTTCAAATTAAAGATGCTGAAGAACTGTGTGAGAAGAAGTAGTGGTGTTTGAAAAATTCCAGAAGCACTTGGAAAGCATTTTGGCTATTGACAAAATTGCATTAAATCTGAAAGTCAGTGGTGAAGATTTTCACCGGTGGTACAGTTTTCAAAGGGCAATCTCAAAGTTGAAATGTGTTTTTTTTCCATGCAGCCTTTTAACCAAATATATTCCCTGCCCCCCATCCCCCCACCATACCTTTTCATGTATTTGATTTTCATTCTCTGTCTTGGTTACTTCATATTAGTGTGGGGAATTAATTTTTATTTGTGAGGTGCAGACATTTAAATATTTCTATGCATATGTTCTTTCTTTTGTAATAATACTTTAATTCAGTACGTCTTGTAAAATGTCTGGAAGTTGTAATTACTCAGTAAAATGTTACATAGCCGGTAAAGGTTGTATTCTGTTAATTCAAGCAATTATATATATATATTGTAAAGGTAAGCAATAACACTGGCTTTAGGCAGTTGATGATTTCCTACATTTCTAAATTCAAGATGGACATAATATTTTACAAATGCAAAACAAAGGTTATATCCATCTATTTGTGCTAGTTAGGCAGTTTGTGATGATGACAGTATACATTGTTAAGTAGTATACACTCAGTGTGTGAGCCACCAGCCTAGGGTTAGCCAAGCTATGTGCCTTTCATCCTGTGCACCCCTGCACCCAAAGAGCACAGTTCCTTCCCCAGGACAGAGAAAGCTCGCTCAGCCTGGCTCCAAGGCCCCACTGGCACTGTCTCCAGTTTGATCTACCAGTCCTGATCCAGATCTAAAGATGACATGAAGAAAGGCAGTGAGATAGATGGATTGCATGTCTGTATAGTGAAGGCTATGGAGAATTTCTTGAAGAGGTTAGGTTTATGTTATTAGACTTGGATAATAATTGTAGTTTGACAATCCCAGCAAAGTTGTCCAGGCCTTTCAAGAAAAAACTAGGTATCATTCACTTGAAATTAGTCAGCTTAGAAAGAATTTAATATATGGTTCATTAAAAGTGCCAGTTTTTGTCGCCAATACTAATGCAAACTAGTGATTTGTAGCGTTATGGAAAGAAATAGTTCTAATTGGGCTAAAAAAGTCTGTATGTGGCTGGAAAGAAGAGACAAAAATGTAGGAAGCGTGGATGATAAAGTGGAGAGACTTGAAAAACTGAAGTTTCTGTCTGTATGGTATCAGATACCAGAAATAAGGTGATCAAGCAACATATTTCAGGAAAGATGGCTAAAGATGTTTCATTTCATAGCTAAGAGACTTCCTTTCTCAAGGGATTTTCTTGCAGGGACACTGGACAGTAATGTATGGTGTTCAGATTGCAAAAGGCCATGTGTCACAAACTCATCTCCCATGTTCAATAATGTTATTTTTGGGTGGTGACAGTTCTGGTTTGTGGGGGCTTTTTTGCTGGTTTAGGCTTGTGGAGTTTTTTTGTTTGTTTGTTTTGGGGTTTTTTGTTTGCTTTTTTTGTGTGTTTTTTTTTTTTTTTAAATGAACCAAGTGGCACAATAATCTGCCTGATCAGGGACAAATCCAAATATTGGACTGTCTCTTGGGCTGTCTGAATAACCAGGCAGATGGTCTCAGCCACTTTGAAAGAGGGAGAGTTCTGTTTTTTTGCATAATGTGACCTGAAATCTTTAATCTTTATTTACCATTTATGGCATTTACTGAAGGGCAATTCTTAATTAATTGTGTTAAATGGTTGGTAATGGTTTGAAGAAGGACTTTGCAGTCAGCTGGTTGGAGGTTATCTTAACAGTTCCGTTCAGGAATCAATTTTGTCTTTCCTAATTTTTTATGGGGGGCTTCATTAAAAGATCATGAAAAGTAAACCTTCCTTTACCATTTTAATTGAACATTTTGTAAACATTAGGAAATGGACATAATTTCTGCCTTCACAGAAGCTGTGCCAGTTTGGCCTCTAGTAAATAACCCATATTGACCTACCCAAGTTCTGTAGTGACTTCTTTTTTTTTTTAATTTAGACTCATTCAGTTCTTCTGGTACTGAATTGGGGCTTAGTAGGATCTTTTCTAGGCCCTCTTTCCTACAAACAGGGTGGCTTAAATAATTACTCAGTGCTGTAGTGTAAATTGATAGTGTTTTAGAGAATTGGGTTTTCTCCAGAAATACTAATTGAACAGCATTAAAATCAGGCCCCTCTAGATACACAAAGCATTAAGTTTAGGGTTGAAATGTTTTTTTTCCAAAGAAAGCTGCAGTAATAAATAAAATCCATCTTGCATTTCATACACATAAAATAAATTCATATATGAACTTGTGTCTCTGCATGTTATAATTGTATGTAGGTATCTTTGCTTGTAGATTTGTACCTTGCTGATTGTGTTTCTCATGAAAGAGAACCGTTATCTTAGCAAAAATAAAATACTGTGGAAGAAGGTTCTGATGAATTTGGACAATTTTGAAACCTTGATGAAAGGAAGACTTTTCAGTGAGGCTGGCTTTGAGAAGACCAAACTTGTGGTGGTCTCTGTTCTGCCCTATGTTTTCATCCAGCTGCTGGCAGAGACAGCATAGAGAGGTTTAACAGACCTGTGGCTTAACCCTGTGTGGCTGCTCTTACATCTTCAGTCATTCAAACTGACTGACATTAGAGGAAGAAGGTAAGGAAAACTGAGTGATGAAACAGTTAATTTCACAAGTATATTAAGGAAGTCACCTTACAAGGGGATACCTGAGCTATACCATCATGTGGTACAGTGGAAGCTAAAGAAGTTAATAAGGGATGTTCTTCACAGCAGGGAGAAGTTTGAATAGTTTTATGACAAAGCTTATTGCTTTGATATCGTCAATCTCCAGTGTGCATAACAGAAAATTTTCAAGTGACCTGGATAGAGATGGATGATTACTTTCACATTCTTTGGCTCACTTTTGTTTGCTAGGGATGCATAATTTTGGCTTCTATATGCTAAGGATAAATTAAAGGTATGTCTGTTAATCCTTACCAAAAGCTGGTGCCTAAGCAGGACACCCAGGGCTGAGCTCAGATTAATTCCTCTGGGAGAATGCTTTTGGCAACTCGGTTTCTCTTGACAGCCCATTTTTTAGCCCTGTTCCATCTGGAGAAAGGAACAAAATGATGTATCCGCAGCAGAACAAAATTAAGCGGAGAACAATGAAAATAACATGCCTCCCTCTTGTGTGGTGGTCTTTCAGCCCTAGTGTCAGACTAAAGTTGAGGCACTGGCAAAGCACCTCAGGTCTAGTTCTAGGGATAAGCTTCTCATGGGAGAAGTCTTTTTTCAGTCTCTAATTTCCTTCACCAAGCATTGGTCAATTAAATACAAGAAATAAAAGGATGCACCCTATCTGTGGTGGTGGTGATTTTCTTAATATTGAATGAGATCTCTGCCTTTAAGAATTGATCCCATGGCAATAGACATGAAATAATAATGTTTGCTTTGGTAATTGTTGAATTTGAATGAGGAAATGTTCTTGCAAGTTGTGGTTGTGCAAAATTTCCATGATATGCCTACTTATGACCCCAAGCACTTAGTCTATAGATAATGCTGTTCACATTTCTTAATTTCCTCTGAGCATAAATAGAAGAATGTTTGTTCTTTCTTCTGCTATTGAAGAAATCCAAGCTTTCTTGGAACCTAATTGTCCCCAGCTTCTCTAAACATCTCAGATGTGTTGCTTGCACTGAGAACTTAGGTTTTGGTCAAAGGAAAGCGGTAAATACTCATCACAGAGAATTTGGCAAAGGAATACTTTTAGCTAGGCCTATGCAAAGCTTGTGGACTTTGACTATTTGTGTTCTTTTCCCTTTATGCACTGATTTACTCCGTTTTGACCTTCATTATATAGCTTCAGTCTCCAGGTGGTTCAAAACAAAGGTTTTAGGTGGAAGAGGCTTTCCAGAGTCTATGTTCTAAGAGCTCCATCTCCTCGGTAGACAACTGGATGCTTCTGGATCATCAGGGGAGATGTTCTGGCTAGCTTTTGGTGGGTTTATGAATGTGCCAAAGTTAATTTTAATTTTTTTTTTTTTGAGATCAATCTAACCCTGGAACTGTCTTTTTGATGCTGTGAATGGGAAAGGTAGCCTGGGTGTTTCTTTCACATTCCTTTTGTCAATAGACTGTTAGAACTGCTTGCTGCTCTGCTTCTCATTCTGGATTATCCTTTACCAAAAAATCCCTCAATCCCTCTTTCAGTTCAATACATAGTTCAGTTGTTGGCTCTTTCACATCCTTTTGCAAGAAGATTTTTCAGTTTTTCACTGATGTTACTAGAAGGCATTTTTGAAAGGTTTAATTAGACATTTTCTGCTGTACTACTGACCCTGTTCCTAAATGGGAACTAAATTTAATATTAACTTTTCTAATGGGAAACTACTTTGAGTCATTAGCAAACCTGTTACTTTTCCATTTTCCTACAAAGACTGCCTTGCCTGTGGTAATTATATCTGCCAGATGAATGGGAGACTTTCGTGTTTTTAAGGACAAAAGGATTTTTAGACTTTTCCCAACACTGTTATGTAAGTTAATGTCAGATTTTTTTTTCTCTCTTGACTCAGGTAATTAATCTGCTGATGTGGAATTTTTTTTTTTTTCCCTTAATGACATACATCTGCAGCAGCAGTTGCTTTTATACTTTGGATGCTGAAGAGTCTTTGGAAGAGGGTTTTTGTATTGACAGGACAAGGTCATAGACAGATCTGTCAAGTATTCCAAGGGACTCCACACTGCAGCAGGGAGGATTTATCTGTGGAGAGATGTTCATGTATGAACTTGCTAGGAAATAAGGAAGACAGAGCCTTTGATTTTAAATAGGCCCCACTCAGGTGCTCAAGTCACATCAGTGGTATTTGTTTGCTGTATCAGTAACTAAGATTTATTTGATTGTCACCTGGAGCTGTATTCATGCTTTCCTCCTGCTGAAGTACTTGGAGACTGTTTGTAGTCACCCATGGTGCAGATGAGCACCATGAGTAAGTGACAGGTAAGGAAAGACAAATCTTTCTTCTCTGTTCTTTTTGCAGTATCATCTATGTGCATGTTTACAAATGAATGTTAAACTTTGCAAGTCAATACTCATCTTGCATTGTTGTCCATGCTGTGTGAGCTTGTCGATTGCAAAGCTATGAGAACATTTTGAAGAGAGTGTCTTGAGGACTCGGATGTCAGGAGAGAGAAAAATTAATGCTGCTGTGCAAATGTATCTCAGTCTCCTTGTGCCTGGGAGTCCTTATGTCTACTCTACAATGCTGCTGTTGCCCAGTGCCCCAGCCTTCTGCAGGAGGATGCTGCTCCTTCAGCAGTGATTTGGTGTTTTGGTTTATCCTCACCATTTGATATGTGGCCTCGTTTTATGTACTGCAGGCACTCAGACTCCTCTTCAGGCAGGCCTGTTACTGTCTTGAAGGATTTGTGCTTAGCACTATAATTCTGGTTCTTAAGTAGCACTAATCTTTACAAAACCCTTATGAAAGAACTATCCCAGTTTTGGGCACAACAGGCTGAAGGTTGAAACATGCCACTTTATGCTGTGTCCCCTGTGACTCTGTTTCAGTCTCCTCACCACAATGGAAGCACTTCCTATTCTGACACTCCTCCTTCCGCTGGCTTCGGTAACAGAAGTGCCTCAGCAAAGGGGAAGTGGCAGAGAAAACAGCAATTCCTGCCTAGCTGAACTGAGGGCTAGATTTTGCAACTTGAGTAGTCTTAGTAAAATAAGATTATAAAGACTTCTGTAATGTGAGTTTGCACATGAGCTTGTTCTAAGGAAATGAGGTAAAAACTGTGTTTCTTCATATGCATAGCATTCAGTGGCTGACTTTGACCTTAAAGGTCCTTTTCAGGGATATTAGTACTTGAGCAAATGCATAACTGCCAGCAGTGGTGGGCCATGCTTCTGAATGGACCAGCACTATGGCAGAGCAGGAGCATGGTTTGATTATAGCCTTGCCAGTATGTTTAATAGGTATTTAGTGGAGGAATGACAAAATGTGACGTTACCGAATGACACCCCTCAACTGTGCTGCCTGCTCCCCTTCAGTTCTGTTTCTCCCCCATCCCAAGAACCTCTTCCTTACTCCTTCCCTGCCAGCCTTCACTGCCGGTTTTCTGCCTGTACTGCCCCACCACCCCATCGGTTTCCCTCATAGCCCGTTCAGCCCTTCCTCGTTTCAAGTCACTGCCCAAAAGTCTGGGAAGACAAAGCTTTCTAAAGAGAATTACACATTTTTTTTCAGAGTGATTAACACAGGTTTTTTAACTACATTTCCCAGAATCACCTGAAATTATTTTGGTGAGGGCTTCCCTGATAAAGGTTTTCGATAATGAGGATCTTCACAAAAAGTACAGTATGCTGAAGCCCCTGATCTAGAAAATACCAGCCCAATTGCAGTTAGTTCTGCAACATTATAGGCACTCAGCAGCATTGTTTTATAATGGAAATATTTAGCAACCGTTTCTAATGGATGATACTAGCGTGCAGTCAGGCCTGTCTTGCTTCACAGCCCAGCGGAAGGGGTTTGCCACGGTGCATGTTTGTCACTGTAATTCCTCTACAAATTATTTGGAGCTGGGATTTTCTAAAGCATTTAAGAGAGCAGGAGACATTCAGCCATCACTGAATTTTGAATTAAAATGGGATTTAAACTTCACCGCTTGAAAATCCAGGTCTTAAGATTGCAGATGGTTATTTTCTCTGAGCGGTGTTTCTATCTAACCAGCACATAAATATATGTGGTTATATTTTGAGGTGAAAATGATTTATATTATTTTCATACTTGAATTCTTCATAATATTTCACTGTTCTTGCTGGTGCTTCATACCAAACAAGCATTTAATGCAAAAGACAACCCTCTAGCCCTTTCTATAAATCTAAGTCTATAAAACTTTTAATATATATTTTGTAGTGAGAACCAGTTGTGATGGCTGTCACACCAACACAACAACGCCTATAGAAAAAGAGACAGACAGGTTAACCAGAGACTAACTTTTATTGTGCATTTTTATGCAACAGAACAAATGGAACTGGAGGTATGTAGTAATAAAACCAATATCCAAATTAGAATTAACACCTGAAATAGTAAACTGTAGGTAACAAATGTCTTTAGAATTAAAAAATATTGACTGTTTAAAAAATTCTCTAAGATTTTATATTCTTTAAAAGAAATGTGTGTTGCCACATAGAAAACAATTCACACATCCTATAGAAATTGTCACAAAAACCTTACTAGTCTATATTACACTATGCACTTTTTTTTGTACAATATCTGGTAAAGGTCTATCCCTAACCTGTACTTACTCTACACAGTACAATCATCATTAGAAAGTATTCATAGAATTAACTACACCATAACAATAAAAATATCAGGATTAATGGTTTTTTTAATCACAGTTTCTCCACAAATATTTGTCATAGAAAATATAGCAAAGGCATGTTGGCACAGATGGGTGTGCGGTACTGCTACACAAAGTTTAAGAGAAGGCAGATACATAAATGACAGTAAGATTAAAGAGCATGGAAGGATAAGACAAGAATCTCTATCCTCCTGGGACTTTCTGGAGTGACATGATAGATAGCGGTTTCCTTCTGTCGCAAGCCTGCTGTCTACATCCAGAGCTGGGAAGGGATGTGCTGACTTACAAAGTACACTGCTTAAATATGGATATCTCGCTCTGCAAGGGCTTACGTGCTATCTATTATTTCAGGTCCCGTAGCCTTATACCTAACGTCTTGCAGATATATAGACACTTCAATGTGTATGGATTTATAATGCCTTATGAACAAATTAATCTGAATAAGCTGTTGGGAAAGACTTGTTTTTTTTTGGAATTAAAAACAAAGACCGACAACTGAGAAAAGTTGTTGTACTCAGTTATTTTGAAACCAAATATGAACAAAGATGAGCTGGTGTCTGCTAATGCTTGTCTGTGACTACAGTTCATGTCACTGGCCAGTGCACACAAGCAACTGAGGGCAAAATTTTGTTTGTAAAGAAAGGTCCAAACCTGCAAAGCCATTTCTACTGCCAAAGTGGCTTTCAGGATGGAACTATACATTTGGCTATTTTGCACAATATGAGAGCAGAGTATTGTGAGTGGTTCCAGGATGCTGGCTACACTTTTTACACTAAAAATAAAGCTAGGCTTACTAGTTATTTCAGTAAATCTTTAGGTTATCAAGTGAGAGAGGTCTGTTCAGTCCAGTAATTCTGTGACTGTTAAAAATGAAGCTTTCGTATTTTTAACCTCATACAATTAACATTTGAAAGGAAACCATCACAATGTTTACAAAAATACAGCATGATACATATCGCTGTGGACAAATTTACAGTATAATGTTGACTCACACGTTCTGACATATTTTACCAAGTAGTTCTGGCAAGTGTCACCACATTAAACATAGACCAGCAAGACTTACACCATCTGAGCAATGTAACATCTTCTATTATAGTTCTTTTAAAAAAAAGTGTAAGTTCAACACTGAAAAGCTACTATAGGATATCTGTACCATGACATTTCTATACACCAAGTTTCTCCTCCAGAGGCCACCACGCACCATTTACCGCTCAGAGAAAGTCACCTCCTGCTGTAGTGAGGGATGCTGTCCCAAAACCCTTGGCCTGGTGAGGTCCAGTGTGACAAAACTGCTCATTCACTTTTAGAAATGAGTTATTCTGGGGCAAGTGAGTGCCTTTCAACCCCCTTTTAAAAATCACCAAAAATTAAATTAATTGAGAGGTATTGGACATTTAAGGGCCTAAAGCATATCCTGGCTGAGCGAGGTCCCATCTACGGCAGTGCACAGTGGAGCCCATGTCCCAAGATGCCCCCCAGGCCGGTCATGAGAAACCAGTCACAACTGCAGGCAAAGAGGAGGCAGATGGTGGGAAGAAGCTATCATGTGGGCAAGCCGACCTTTGAGAGACTGCCTCAGTCCTCCATCCATGGTCAGGCTGGAGCTAGAGGGGTGCTTTTCCCCAGAGGGCCCTTCCTGATCGTTGAGGAAGGTGTTGGTGTCTCCTGCCCTGCCCAGCACACAGGGAGAAGGGCAGGAAGGAGAGAAGGGTAAAAGGAGCAATTAGTAGCTTCTCTTGCGGCTTGCACAAGGCGGTTAGGAAAGCTGGGGAGTATGAGATATGCGTTCAGGAGAGTCAACGCTGATGAGGTAGCACTAAAGATGGTCAAAAGTGAAGTGAACTTTCTTTCCAAAAACCAGTTCCCTATACCTGTCAGTGGGGAAATGTTGCCTCAAGGAGAGCTGGTTCAGGCTGTGAAGAATGCCAGCACTGGCCTGAGTGACCAGATGAGGGTAAGGAGATGGAAACACCCTGACGTGGAAAGGAAAGGGTATTGTTTCTTTGGCATTGTATATTTCTGGAGTGCATCAATTTGGAGGGACAATGGACTCCTAAGCCTTTAAAATTAAAGGTTTTAGTAGATTTAAAAAAAAAAATTTGGTATCTGCTTCCAGCCTTGTTCACTACTGTGAATTCTGCTCTAGCACAGCTCTTTTCTTACAGCTGTTAGTCTGGACCCCATGTTTACTCACAACAGAAGCTTAAACTAGGCTCTTTTTACCCAACCCCTCCCTGAACACAATATTGAGCATCTGACTGTTAAGGCTAGCACCTTGCCTCATCTATTTCAAGGAATGGATATAAAACACAAATGAAAGCAAAACCAAGAAAAGGCAATTTAAAACCTCTAAAGCTATATAATATGGCTGCAGAATAGGAAGAGACAAAGCAAAACCCATCTTCTGAAATGACAATTTGTTTTTAGCAATCTTGTTTTAATAAAACTGTCATGATCAACTCTAATCCCCTAGAAATCTAGATAAATATAGTGTCTATCAGATGTACAAAGCAATTTTTATCTATTAGAAGTGCCTGTTATTTTTCTGGGTCTTTGAAGGATTCTGCTGTTGACAAGCACTGCTGTTTTACCTGGGAAGCTTAATTTCCTGGCAGAGTTGGCTAAAGGAAGTCCCTGAATTTTCCATCTTATGTGGTGTTTTAAGGTAGCATTTATGTTATTTTCTGTTAGGAAACGGGAGACTGCTTCTTTTTTTTTTTGTTATATGTGTGCAGACTTGTTCTTACATCTCCTACCCAGGTAAAGCAAATAGTACCCAGCTGTTCTAGGTCCAGACCTGGGATTGTTATCAATAGGCAGATGAGATAGTAGCTGCTATTTCTTTTGACATTTTTATAGTTTTTAAATGACCTTTCCTCTAGAACTAGATGAAATGAACTGCAATTTCCCTTTGAGAGTGCTGTGAAGGATTTGCAAATAATAGGCACTGAGAAGTCCCATTGAGCAGGTCTTGAAATGGATTTCTGTTAACTGGGACATGGTAGGATGGAGAAGCTGAAATGTATGCAGTATGTGTTCAAACATGCTTTGGACTCTTAAATGACAGCAGGGTAAGTATGTCTAACAAATAGTCTCTCCTAAATTAAGTGGTTGCTACTGTTGTATGAGGTTCTTCTCACTGCCATCAATCACCAGATCCATCTTGCATACCTCTATTGAAGACTTCATCCTGTGATCCTGGATGGTCAGTCCCGTCATAATAGGAGTTTCCATTGTGAAGGAAAGTCCCCACTGCACGCCCTTGACGAGCATGTCCTACTGCATCGCTGAATACCTTGTTTATTTGCTCTTCGGATGGCATCCACCAGTCTGGGTTGGAAGTACAATGCATCCTAATGAACTCTGCAGGAAAACACGCAAGGATAAAAACCAACTTGTCTTTGCAGCATCTGTTATCACCCAGGCATCAAAAGCTCATGGGAAATAAGAAAGGGGGCCATTACTGCTCTACTTAAGCAGAAGTAAAGCCTTATGGGGGATGCCATGATAATGCCACTTGGACCTATTTTATTTCTGTACAACTGTGTTTCTCCACATGCAGTGTATGTTGTTATACCTGAGCTAATTATGTGACACATGGGACCTGGAGATAAAATTCCTTTCTTGTGGAAATAAAAAGAAATAATTCGAAGTGACAGCTGTGATTTAGCATGTGCAATACATGTGAAAGTTAACGTGAACTGGGATGTATTTAACTGTAAACCTGTTGTGTATTTATACCTTAAGGTGATTACTGTCGTGGACCTTTATGATCTCCCTCTGCTGGCTGCTTCAACACCTGCAGGCTGCAGTAGCCCACAACCCACTTGAAACTGTCCCTAGTATTTCAGTTTGGCGCTCCTTTCTGTTTGGAGTATCTTTCATTTTAAGTCCTGTTCTTTCCATCTTTCTGAATCTGACACCTATTTTTCAGAGACTAAATTGGCCTTATAAATAGCTAAACGAGATGAGAGGGCTAATTTGGGAAGCCTTGCAATAGTTTTCAATGCAGGAGAAAATGAATTGTACTGTGTGCGATTTGGCTATTTAAGTAGCTGCTGCTTTCACATACAGCTATTTGTATGTGATGATTACATTTTTTATAATTTATTTTTCAGATTTTTTGACATGCAATATGCTAAACTTGCAGAAGGCACCTTACCAATTCTGGGGTTGTAACTGCTAGACATAGCTCAAATAGGTGTATTTGGACTTTGAAAAGTCCAAATACGATTTTAAATGTGAGGGTGCCTTATTAGATATATTGGATACACTGCACCTCATATGGAAACTAAGATTCTTATTTATTCTGTAACATTAGTTATTCCCTCATGCAGTATTGTGTGTCCCAGGATATTTTTAAATTCTATTTTCTCCTGTTGACAAGCCAACAGCACAATAAGTGGCGTAAGGTAACTTCATTACTGTCACCACATCTCGAGACCAGGGAATGCTGTGCTTCTACGCGAGTTCCCGTGCCTGCAAGGTATCTCATCTGTTGGACAATTAGGACGTGATTTTTGCATAGCTCCTCCAGCAGTGTGTCTGCAAGTGATAGCTATCTCTGTTTTAAATTCATTTCCCTGGAAATCCACACAGGCAAAATAATTCCTACCTAGTTATGTTCACATGGGGCTCCACAGACTGGTATGTTTCTCAGAAAAATGGTTACCACGTAAAGGAGTAATGCTGTAATTTAAGCATGACAGGCTGTTTTAAAGCTGGTTCCAGACATCAGTCAGTTGTAGGAATATATTAAACATGTTTATAGATGTTTAAACTACTCTGAGTGCAGAGAGAGAAGCAGTTTTTACTCTCTGCTGTGGTGAAAAAGCATAATTAGACGTGCTGAGAATTAGTCAGACACTTGTTACCTTAGCTTGCAATTGGGTAGGAGCCAGTGGCCAACTCTTGGCACCAGAGAAAACTGTCATGTTCCCACCCAGCCACAAAAGCCCAAAGGGAGAGCTGACTATTCTGCTTTCTTAACCGGACCATAGATACTGAATGTTTTGGCTGCTTCTTCAAGCTTCTGCCAATTAAGGAAATTGGCCTTTCTCCCAAGGACTGCTCCACATGTTCTGTATGTCCAGGACCACAGAAAAGAGAGCGGCCATAAGCAAAAGTCCATCTACAGGTGGATTTACTGTTAGTATTGGTGGGAGGCAGGGGGAATAAAGGGGAAGAAAAGGGTATTAACAATCTGCTTGTGCATAAATTACTAGGTGTAATTAAAAGTCATTTAATAAATGGTTAACACTTGTATTCAGCCTTTAGTTTCCAGGAGAACTGCTGGGACCCTGAATCTTTCTCCAGACCTCTATGCAGCATAGTGTGCAGTGGATTTGCCTTTCTATTAAGCTCTGATAGAGAATAAGGTCTGGTAGAGCACCATATAACAGGTTAACATGTCCCTTTGTAGTAAAAAAGAGCCTCATTGACTAATTTGGCTGTATGTAAAATCTGAGTTCATTACCTGGTTACATCAATGTTCCCCAACTACAAGTCTAGTCTACTTGGCCTTGCTTGATTCTTCTATCCTAGATGGGAAGAGGCTGCATCTGATGTATATAACCATTTGGGACTTCAGCTGGATAACTAAAGGTATTTTTATCACTGACTGACCAAAATACAGCTTTTTACACTGCATTGATTAGTAAAACATTTTTGAAGTCAGTTCTATCAAAATTTCATGTATTTGCTCACAAAATACTATAAAGTTAACTATGAGTTAATTAAAGAAATGATAAGCATATGCATTTATAAAATGCAGATGCTGATATGATAAATATGGTCTTAATTGGGCTTAAAAAGTCCTGTTTTCTATGTTCTGTTATAAAGCCCTATACCAGGCCTTTTGAACAGTTTTAGCAAATCTAAGTATGAACTGCCACAGCAATTAATTCTTCTCAGTCTGGACTCTCTCTCTGGATTGTCCAGTACCCCTACTCTCTGACATTGTGAAATGCCTGCAAAACTCCCCCTCCTTCTCAGGCTAAATATGGGGAAAAGTTGTTCCCTAACTTTTTCAGTCAATGTTGCATCAGTACTCAAAAAAAGAAGTTAAATCCTTGACAACATACTTGCATACACCTTGTATGTAATGAACCTGTAGATGTTCTTGGCCCTATAAAATGTTCAAGTCTATTCTGAAACTCAGTTAACTTTTAGCTCCAATGATGCACTGTGGCCTTCAGCGCCATATGCTTACTACACATTAGGCTATAAATATTCCTTTGGTTAATTTTGCTGTATATCAGTGTTAAAGAATGCCCTGTTAGTTTACTATAAAAGAGTGTAAACAAACATGATTGTCTGATTCTTCCTTTTTTGCTGTTTCAAGTATATCAGTGTCATGTGCCCTTGTATTTGTCTCCTCTCTTAAATAAGCAGCCCTGTTTTCTCCCATTCAAAAAAACCCCAAAACACATATATAATACATACATACATACATATATGTATGTATATAAAAAAAAAAAAAAAAGCAGAGGGTTTCTGGCTGCTTGAATCCTGCCTGTGAAACCCCTTCTAGTTCTGCAACTGTCAGCCAAATGCTTCTACTGAGCCAGAGCCAATGTGGTGAAATGAGATCACATATGGTGGACACTGAGCGAAAAGATGCAGTACCTCTGAGACATGTTACTTTTACTGGATCCAGAGGACGTCTTTCAGGACCTGTCTCTCCTGACTGCACTGACCTTTTCCTTTTTCCAAGGCCGCATGAGTACTTAAGCTCATCGGTTGTGAAAACAAATCTGATGAGATAGCGAAGGAGCCGTCGTCCATCTTTCTTGGAAGAATTTACAGCCTCATCCCACTGTTTACTAGTGATGTAGACAGGGTAGTTGTTCAGCAACTGCTTGCTCCCCTGAAAAAGAAGAGAAACATTTCCATTGCTTATTTTACAAGGCAAATAAGCAAAGATGTCAGCTGCAGTAAAAAATACACTTTTTAACTAGCCACAATACAGACAGTGAAACACATCCTGAAGTGAGCAGGTAATTGCTCTTAGTGAGAATGAGTACTTTTAAAATTATGTTTCCATTTTCTAGAACTTGAATTTGGTGAGGTACGAGAAATATGTTTTGAGAGGTGGCTATTGATAATTTCCACTTTAACAAGCAGGTTGAAAAGAGTTAAGAACCAGTGGCTGGATGTACTATTTAAGTATAACCTTTCTTCTTAATCTGTTAAAATGCATAAAAAGGGTCTTTGAAGAACATGATCAAATGGATCACTTCATCGCAGCTGACAGTTTACTTCAGAGGTGACTCTTTTGGTCTATTTTTATAATAAATTTATTACTTCTGTAGAACACACCTGAAACTTGACAGCAGTTATGTTACTGTAAAAAATGTAAAGAAAATAAATAAAGGAACTATGAAAACTAAAAGATTCATTACTATTAATGAATGCCGCATTAACTCAAATTATAGCTTTACAGAAATGCTGCTGTGTCAGCTGGAAAGAAATTTTGCTTTTAACCTTTATAATTTGTATGCTTCAATATTCCAACATTAAATGAATGCTGGGGGACTAATTATGGGGGTTCCTGTAATCCACACAAATATAAGCTCTCTTTAGTCAATTGTACCTAAATTGTATTTAATTCTTGTTGTCCATAAAAGGCTATAGTTCAGGATTACCCAATTAACGTAAAATGGTACTGTTAATATACCTGAAATAATTGAAGTACACAAAAAAGCCAAACCACACCCTCCTAGAGACTCATTCACTTTTATAGCTACACCTCTTTATTAAAACACATAAATCTGGAGGCACAATTAGTAAAATCTTTGTATAGCTCCCAGAGAAACAAGGGTACCATGCTCACCAGAGGCAATCAGCCACCTGCTGCACTTGTGGGCAACTGTTGCAAACTTCTGGCTTCCAGATCTTTGATACCTGAAAACTATTTTAAGGACTACCCTTGCCTCCTTTCACGTATTTAGTATAGCATCCTGTGAGATAGCTTGGGAGTATCTTTGAAATTTTTCCTTGGGCATTTGCTTTTAACTTCTTTGCAAGTTTCATAAATACATGGAAAGTTGAATTTAGTGAAGATTTGTGATGATTAGAGAATCTGTATGACTTAGGATACCACCGCATCCTAGGAGGGTTAGCATCTCTGGGAGCTGAGCCTATGTGACTGTGCTATTTGTACGCCTCAATGCAAACTACTGGCAAAGACAGCTACAAGCAAATTCAAAACTCTGCAAAGGAAGACAAAATGTAAGGGAAGAGATGGGATTTGTCTGCCAGAGGGGCCCCTCCTCTCCCCCCCAAACATATCAACTCTTCATTCCCCCTGTAGCTTGTGAATCCAAGCTTGTAATCCCTAAGAGAAAGACCCTTCACCTATAGTTCAACGCTGTCATCATCTGAGACTTTCTCTTTACACTTCACTTGTCTCTTCTCAGCACTGCAAAAGGGCCAGGGTCAGTTCCTCTCCCTCCACTCATGATACAAGAAGCTGCTTTAATTTCTCCCAGGTACACATGCCCCAGTAATATGTCTGAGGCACTCCGCCATGGAAAGAACATCACCCTCTATCCAGCCCAGCTCTTCATCCTCTGCCAACAAGGTAAAGAGGCTGGGGAAGGAGGAAGAGCTGGGGGCAACATGGAAAGGTCTTTGGGGGTATTATACTCTTATGCTGAAGCAACTGTGACCACCCCATCTCAGGGGGAGCTGACACTAGTATTTCCTTGGCTTGTTCCACAACATAGGTAATACACAGGACCATCTGATCACCATGTCAGTACTTACTTTTTTCCAACAGTTAGCTCTGCAACCCTTTTATATAAAGTGAATGATTTTCCTACCTAAGATTTCTGAAACCTATTTTTTTTCCTATCAAAAAACTGTAGTGAAGCAAGGACCTTAACGATACTGGTGCAAAGCAGAATCTGCAGCTAACTGTAGGCACTGCCCTCCTTTTCAGCCCTAGCAGGCAACAGTAATGCAATGCAAGCCTGTAACAGCACAGGGTAAGGCTGCAGGCTTGCTCATGTGCATTAGGGATGGATGCTCATAGGTGGCTTTGTTAAGTAGCAAGCAATCCTAGAAGCTACCGCTGTATTTAAATGTATTGCACTGATGAAATTAAGGTGCAGAAAGGCCCAACATCTAAATTTCATGAGTGCTCATATAACTATTAACTGAGGAGAAGGTAATACGTTTTGTGTAACTTCCTCAGCCCCAATTTTATTATACTCCTCTCTTATTCCCCCTGAAATTTAGGATATTTTTCCTCATTCTTCTCCAAAGGCATGATATAGTGTTATGCTAGTCTGTTAAACAATTACTGGGTCCCTGCTACAGATACACTTTCATTATAACCTCTGAAAGTAAAGCACTTCTAGGCAAAAGATTCTCGGTAAATATATGATGAAGTTTGGTGTGTCCAGCAGTCACTAAACTAAAACAAACAGAAAACCTTCCAGAAATGAAATAAGCAGACCCTGAAGGAAGAATCAAAGTACAAATGTGTTCATGCTTGTATTTGTACATGATTAAGCTTATGAATAAAAGATTAGAATTTATATGTTTAATTGAATAAAAAATTCTGTCACATCATGACAAGTTATTCCATGTGGGACATTACAGAACAGCCTCAGTTTTTACAGTGCTTGAAAATTTTAGTTAAGCAAAAGAGCATTAAAAAAAGGAATATGAATCCTTGGAATATATTTGAGTGATAACAGCTAATGATATATATATAAATATATATGTACATATCAATTTGCACAGCATAAAACTGAATGGAGGAGCAAAGTGATGCACATCCTGAACTGCTGCAAAGCATCGTCAGTGAAACTATGGTAAGCTGGGCTCTGTGAGGCTTGCACTTCGTATCATTTATGTGCAAAGGGAGGTCCAACTAGACCTAAGTCTTCCCTCTTCTGATCTCATTTTGTGAATAATGAGTAATGACATGTATACACTACATATACGAAAACATGCACAGCAAGAGCCTCAAATACAGACGGTCTAAACTAGAAAAGTCTCAACAAAAACACTTCATTTGAGGCATTTTTATAAGCCTAGATAGGAACACACTGGAGCAAAATTAACATGAGTTACACTAGAGCTGACAGATAAATCTATACATCTAGCTTCTAGAGAAGGGGAGGACTTAAAACTTCCTGCTTTTTCACTGCAGCACTTTTAAACAGATCATAATTACAAAAAATCTCCAAACTCTGTATCAAGTATAAAATTGTCAACCCTCAACATTTTGTTTAGGATGCTTTCTGAAAAGCAAGAGCACTCCAAAGACTTGCAGAGGTCTATATTTGAGTCTGTCTGCAAAATGAAGGAAATGTGTATTTTAGTGTTAACATCTCAGGGCTGCATTAGAGCTATATTAACTGTACACATGTGTGTGCCTGTGTCCATACAGACAACATGTCGGTACCCCCTCATGCATGGGTGCACTGGCAGCCACTGCATAGAGTCACCGTCAGTCACTCAGCTACAGTTTTCACCAGGCTAGCCCTAGCCTAAAATCTGCCAACAAAAGTGATGTTTCTGAGGAAAAGTGAGAGAAAAAAATACCCAAGGCAAGGCAAGGGTAGCTGGTGCCAATGGAAATAGTTACATGCTGCTCAGTAAAGTCATCCTAAATTATACTAGTGAATGTCCTCCATTTGGGGGATTATTGTACTTAAGAATGACAGTTTAATAATAGATTTCACACATTTTTACTACTGAATATATTCTTCCAGATCCTACTGATTTATTTGCCTACATGTTTTCAATGAATTGTCAAACATAAAAGAGATGAAGCTTGTCTTCACTGTATACTACCTCAGTCGGATGGTCTGCTGGCTGTGGTACCATCAGCTGGTTGTGATGCTGAAGCACAGTCTTCAAATAGTCTAAAACAGTCTGGCAGGGCACTGCATGAAACAAATTGCAATTACTGTATATTAGCTATCTAGCACAAAATAGAAAACCAGTATTAAATCAAGCAGTGTTTTTCAGGATCTGTTTTGTACATCTGTGAGATTTATTTCAAATAGGAAATACTTCTCATTTTGATTTGTGCAGACATTTCATTCAATTGATATACAACAAATTTTGTGTTTCCTATGTTGAGATCTCCTACATTGCTTTTACTTTCTGCCCACTAGTTTTCAAACCGTTTTTTTCCCTAGTTTTAAGTTATAATTATTACAAATACCAATTAGGTCAGCAGTAATAAGAAAAAAAATTGTAAATACTGTAAACAGCCCAAACCATACAAAGGAGAAAATATTTCCTGGACCTAAATCATGCACTGATTAACACGTAAACATGATGAAATATTTTTGAAACTACAGTCTGATTAACTATACTGAACAGATTTAATGATTCACATACTTTAATGTCTTTTCCCTCCCTCCTCCCAAATTTGTTATAGAACTAGGTGTTAAGCAAATTGCTTTATTTCATTTTCCCTCATCCTCTGCCCTTTCCATTCCCATCACTCTCATCCATTTCAGTAGTGGTACCAACATCCTATTCCCTTCTGCTGAGGTGATAGGTTAATTAGGGATGATTCAATTACGGGTCTCTCTTAAGCAGATGCTGCCACATCCCTGATTAACTCTGGAGTATTTTTGAGATACAGTGCTTTTCTCCTGAGCCTGAAACACTGTAGAAGAATTAAACAGATATTAACCCAACATCATGATTGACTTGTGCAAGACTAAATAAGCATTGTTTTTAAGGTACATTATAACTCTAACATTTTGTATGGGTAGTTTTTGTAAGATAATGTTAGCTTCAGCTAAATATCCAGATACAATACTCGAGTGTTCATTCTTTTTTTATTATTACTATTTGTTGGCATTCAGCCTTTACACCTGGAAAAATGTGGTGGTTGGGGCTTTGTCTTAAGCTAGCAATCTCAAAGCAAGCACTGAAATCACTGAGAATGTCTCAAGGTAGGATTTACAGGTATTTTGCACTCTTCCCTGGGCATTCACACTACACAGCAACTATGCCCCTGTCTAGGCAGATGGGGTGCAAAACACCAAAACAGACCCTTTACTAAGGGCTAAGCAGTGTTACATCCAGCAGCCCACATACAGAAGTCAAATGCAAATGCCTGATATAAATAATAAATCCTACGTTGTTTTGCTCCATGCTGACTTCTCTATAAAGACAACCCATCAGTGTATTTACTCCTGTTTCATTTGTATATTACACTTTGCCATAGGAGGTTAGAAGGTTATGCGTTAGGTGAAAGTTAGCATTTCAAGTGACTTGTACCTGGTTTATTTCTCCAGTGACATCACTGCTTATTGCTAGACCAGGTCAGAGTCTCAGTAGTGTAGCTGCTACGCAGTGACACTGCCATGAGCAGGAGAGCCTGGATGACACTGTTAAGTGTCATCAGATGGTTTCAGAAAATGTTTCAATTCTGAAAAAGTCAGAAGGGCAGTCAAGCTTAATAGTCCCACCAACATGTTCTGTGGCCTTCCTGTAATGAGAGCTGTATATTTAGCATATGGCAGCAATCAAAAAATTCAGTACAAGTTCTTACATGGAATAAAGGAGAAAAATAAGCACAGGTAACGTTTTAGTACACTGGATATTCATAAGAAGGTGTAGCAAAGAAAGGATTTGTCTTTTTCCCATTTTTAGATACAGGAAAGCATATGTGGGGAAAAGAAAATAACTTTGGGTTTTTTTTCCCATGCAGATGGGCTGAAGGGTAAGTTTGTATTTTGAGACCTTTTTCTTACAGTCTGTGCGTGTTTGCTGTCTGGCACATCCAAAACGAAGATTAAATTAGGAATGCCCCTGCACAGGTTACTTTCTCATTAAGTAGGTGTCCAAGAAAGAGGCACGAGGATCACAAAGGCTGCCTGGGGCAGTGTCAGAAACCCTGTGACAAGGTCAGCAAAACCTCCCATGGGGGTGGAAGTTAACACGGGCAACCAGCATCTTCTGTGAGATCCAGACACCTCCTGCGAGGTGACTGTAAGGGTGGAAGAAGCTCTGATGGTGGTTGTACTACTGCCTGGAAGGTGCCTGATTCTTGGACTTGGAGGACAGTTGAGTGATACTTGGGAAATCAGAGATACTTGTGAAGTATCCTTTTTCTGCCCTGTCTAAATGTTTTTGTTTAGCAAGTTCACTGGAGACATAGTTGCTGAAGCATCAGCAGTACCTGGAAACTTTACACTTCTTCAGTCCCCACGAAGCTGTGCTCAAAACAGCCTGTGAAGTTTGCACTTGCTTTTCTGGTTATCTCTGTTAGTAAAAGTCCCTGGTGATGATCTGATGGCTCTCAACCATACTTGGTACTATTACCTGTAATTATGTGGAACATGGGGCCTGAAAGGGAACGGAATATAATGCATCAAAAATTTCTGATTTTTAAGAGCTGATCTCACAGCATGATGGTATTTTACCCACAGTAAGTAATTTCACTTGCAGGCTATCCCAAGATGCATTTACCTATGTTCTTCCAAAGGGATTGGGCACAAGAAAGAAGACAACAGGAAACTATTTAACCTGTTGTGCCCCCAGCAGACAAAGTACAGCCCTACTTTAACTGTTTTCTGCTGCTAAAATGCTTTCTCATTACTGATGAGAAATATGAAGGTACTAATTGCTGGCTGAAGTTTATAAATACTGCTATCTTCATAAAAGCAGTAATGTTTCAAGCACAAAATTGTATGATTTTGTTATCATTCTAGAGTCTGGAGGACTCTCAGTACTTTTGACTTGTAAAGCCTATGTACGTCACACTTTGCTGTTGGTATGAACAACCTCAGCCTTTCAAACACCAGATGCTACTTGCAAAGCCAGGGTTCTTGGGCTGCCGTATTAACTGAAGGAAGCCACAAAGAGGACGGCACAAGGCCAAAAGTCAAAGCTTTGGTTTTGCTTCTGTGTCCCTCTTCTGGCTCTGCAAATAGTCTCTTTGCCAAGAGGAACTGGTTCCTCCAAACCCTGCAGCAAACAACTTTTAAGAGCCTGCAGCTCCCAACTATGAGAATGAAAAATCATTTAAACCTACTAGCTTACTTATTTTGTATGTCTTTGACTTTGATGTGGTCTCTAGAGAGTTAACAAGATCATAACCCTGAGAGCGGATTCTCTGCAGGCTTATGCACATATCCACTATCACTGACAACACCAACAAGGATCTGTGCCTACTGTAACCAATGGGAAAGACACTAATGTTGAAATAACACTTGCTTGTTATAATTTAGTAGAAAGCCTGTGGGGAGGCAGTAATTTTCTTGCCCATTAGAAAGAAGTTTCCACAGCCTTTACTTTCTCAAAGTGCCAGTGTCTCAGAAAAGACAATGGAAGTGGCAAAGTAACCTGGTCTGCATTGAGTGAGTGAAGAGATCCTAGCAGGAGCTAAAGCGTGAGGAGGAGGTGCTGCACAGGACAGCATGCTGGGGAAGGCTGGTCTTGCTAAGATGCTCAGCAGTGACTAAGCAGGACATGCATAAGAGGTGGCAGGTCTTAGCTGTTTATTGATCCAAGTTACAAGACTCTGTTGTTATTCTAGGCATCATGCTGTAACAAGTGCTGCTTCAGCGTAGCTTGTCAAAGCTTTCTCTGCAGAGTATCCTAATTTCTAATAAATAGTTGAACAGTGTGGTGGCCACCGACTGTGCTAGTGACAAAAGCTGGGCTGTGATCTCTCAGTCTGACCTGCCACACAGCACAGCAACTCCCCAGACTAAATCCTCTTTGCACCAGACAGCATCAGTGGGTAAAACACAGTACAACTCAAGTTGTCAACTCCTAGCGATGCAGTTTCTACCCTTGGCTCATTACAGTATGTGCTATTTCAGCCTCAGAAACACACACCTTATTTCAAGTCTGCATTTTGTTTTCCTTTGATTGGGTTTTACAAAATCTTTGGAAAAGAAATGGAAAACCTCTGTCACCTATTATATACATACAGTTAGTGATGAAGTAATTTCTCCATCTTCTCTTTGCTAAGCTCAACACCGACCTTCCTGAGATGCTGGGCTCGTGCTAAAAGCAGAGCCCTACACCTACTTAAGGTGTCTGTACATCCAAAGGCCATACCAGCCCTTTTGGCCATGCTGTGCCTGAATACTCGGCAAGAAAGCCACCACGTCCTCCAAAAGCCTTTCTCAGTGTCTGTTTCCCAGGGGCTGAAACCAAGTAGAGTGATGCCCTCTGTGCCTCAACATACGGTAATGCTGCACCATGTTCGGCCAAGTCTGTCACCTCTCATCTTCCTCACTCACTGCTACCTCTGCACCACTTGCAAGCTGTGAGCAATGATTATATGCTTTCCTTCACTGATGAAAGTATTAAAAATATGGGCTGTGAACAGTTTCACAAAGAATCCCTCCAGAAATTAATCTGCATCATGGCAATTTCCTGAATACAAATATATTTGCATTTTTAAAATCAGTCTTTGTAATATAATGTTATGTAACACCCTGAATATCTGCAATACCCTCATCAACCAAACTTTTCATCTCATCAAAAACCATAATTTGGCAAGATGTTGGCTGGTACTAACTCGATTATTGTCTTTTAGTACTCTGTCAATTGGAGCCAGCATCAGTTGTGCAATTAGTTTGTCTGGGCTCAGTATCAGGCCAATGAGCCTACAATCATCTGGGACATCTCATGTATCCTTTTTAAAAAAAACAGTCACACAGTATTTGCATCTTTCAGTCTTATGGAGCATCTCAAATATTCCAAAACATGAAGAAAATCATAGTCAGAGTCCTCTTTGTCCACCTTCATTTTTGTTTTAGCTCCTGAAGTGAGTTGCCCAAATCTCATGATTTTGGAAGCATCATGCTGTGGTATCACCTGCCTAATGCTTTTGGTAATAATTTGATGTGCACTTAAGGATGAGAAGCTGGTGTGCCCAAGCAGTTACTGCTCCTGGCAGCCT